CGTTGACCGACCGGCTCTGAAACCTGCTTGCTCTTCCGCTTCATGTTCTTTCCACTCCTCTTCAATTTTTGCTTTCAAGATTTTTCCATACACTTTGCTCAGGGTACCTGCAACCGACAGTCCTCTATAGTTATCACACTCATCTTTTCTACCCTTCTTCTTGTATATAGGTGACACCCAAGACTCTTTCCATTCTGTCGGTACCTTTCCACCGTCCAAGCAATCTTGCATCAGGTATCTCAACCGTTGAAACAGCTTGCAGGTTCCACACTTGATCAACTCAGCAGGGATATTTCCCGGACCTGGAGCTTTATCGTTCTTCAGCTCTCGTACGGCCTTTACCACGTCCTCCATATGGATCTCCAAGTTATGATTATCGTTAGTATACTCCAAGCTTACGCCTCCATCTTGAAATTCAGGTCGCCTTTCTGTCAGTAAATTTTTAAAATACCCCTCCAGTTTATCAATGGATATCGGAGATATTAAGTCACGCTTCATGTCCCTTCGCAGCCCTTTCAGCAACTTCCAGCTCTCAGTGCTTTTCCTTCCTCCTATGTACGTGTCTATTTTGTTACAGCTCCTCTCCCAAGATTCGTTCTTTTTCTTGGTTATGAGCCTTCGTACCTGCGTCTGAGCTTTTTTATACGCCTCTTTGTCTTCTGTTTTTTTAGAGGAAAGGAACTGATGATATTTTTTCCGTTTCTCCTGAATCTCCTTCTCAATTTCTTCGTCCCACCAGTAAGGTTTTTCGCTAACTTTCCTATCATCAGCGACACCAAGAGCTTCCATTGCTGCCGAGTGAATACAATCCTTCAGGAACTGATACTGCTGTTCGGTATCACCGTCCCTTGATTCGCCCAACTTCTCATCCAAGCGCTTTCCATATAAAGCCCTTACACTTGGATGCTGCAAGCTGTCAATGTTATAGTTTACAAGCTTGACACGATCTTTTTGTTGGTGAACTTCTTCCTGTGCTTGCCTGGTCTCCTGGCTCCCTTTCACTGGGAAAGCTATTTTTGCCCCGAGGAAATAATGATCACTGCCGCAGGAAAGACCTCTCCACACTCTAACTTGCTGAATCTTCATTCCCGTGTCTTGTCTGACAACCACATAATCAATGATTGATTTCAATCCGCGAGTAGACTGAACCCAAGTAAATTTATGGATATCCTTGTGTTGGTAGAACCCATTGAGCACCTTCATGTCCCTTTGCTCACATACGTCAATGATACGGGCTCCGTTATCATTTAGTGCCGCCTCTCCGAAAGGGCCGACGATCTTACTTTTAATTTGACGTCCTATTCTACCATTGAGATCTCCCAACACAATGATTTCCCTCCTGGATCCAATCTTACCAATTTCCTCGTTCAAATCTTCGAAAAATTGGTCCTTCACTGCGACAGTGGAATCATCGTTGACTCCATACACTCCCAAAATGGTGATTTTATGGCCAAACACTGTCATATTCATCTTTATCATTCGGGGGTTAACAGCTTCCCATGTAGTGATGCACTTCCGTAGGCTCTTGCGAATAAGAATTGCAACACCCTGTTGAGCTCGCTGATCTTTTTCCACGCCACTATAAAACAAATCGTATTCCTTTACACTTACAGAGCCTTGTCCTTTCTTCTTCGTTTCTGTTAATACCGTGACATCAAATCCGTGACTCCCTATCTCCGATACCACTTCCGTCATTTTCGTAGAAATTCCTTGTACGTTCCATGTTCCAAAAACCATCATCCGTTTACGTAATTTTTTCCGATAAATCCGTTTATTTCCATTTGTACCGAGGCAATTGTTATTGGGTCTTTTAACAGTATTCCTTTTTCCGAGTATCGGGGAGTTAGCCCGATGACTCAACCCCCAACCTGGAGGACCGGGGTTTGATTTCGGAGTTTCCTCTCCTAGACAGGTTGCTTCCACTACAGCTGAGAGCCCTGTCTGCCCTTCCAATGGGTGGTTCATACGCCTTGAAGCCGGTGACCATCTCCACTACCCCATGAGGCAGGGGTTACCAGCTGGGGTCCGCAGGATTGCTAAACCTGTGACATCAGTCCCCCATACGGGCAACTCTCTCGAACGTTCATACTAAAATTTTTGGTTATCTCCGTATTCGCGCACTCTCACTCTGCCGTGCTAAGGAAAAACGCCGTATGAACATTCGAAAGTTGCCAGATTTCCCTCGATAAAATGTTTATTTTTGAGGAAAGTTGTGAATATTTTTCCTTTAAATTTTCAGAATCTTTAGGTGAATTTGCGAACAAAACAATCTGAAAAATTGGGAGAAAAATATTCATAAGTTCACTAGGAAATTCGCATGTTATCTAATGAAATTTGGCAACGCCTGAAGGTTCATACGGCGTTTTTCCTTAGCATAGCAGCTTTGTAGACAAACCTCAGATAATATCGCCCTGTCATCTCAGCATCAGTTTATCTTATTTATCTGAACGTTAGATCGCGTCATATTCAATTAAAAATAAATTAGAAACTTCTGCTATCTGACGTAGAACGACCAAGTTGCAAATATCCACCGCTATAAACGAATGTTTGGAGGAGGGAGTCATTTTAACCCTCCTTCTCTTGACCGCAGTGGCGATTCTTGAAAGTTAGCAACTCTGCCTTTCCTTCATTTCAATGTATGCAAAACAATCGATTCTTGGTGACCTAATATCGATATTTTTAATTGATTCAAATGGAGAAAAAAACAGTGTCGCCAACCTGCAAAATTGCCACTGTCTGATCGTGGATAGAGAAATGGGAGAACCCGTAAACTATCCACCAGGAAGTTCTCTTCTAAGAGTGAACTGTTTCTTAATCTCTCCAAAATGAATCATCGACTCATCAAGGTCATTTTAAGAACACTTAAAAGAGCGCACCGACGCGCGATGGTGAGACTATAAAACTGCCGTGCTAAGGAAGAATGCCGTATGAACATTCGAGAGTTGCCAAATTTCCTTCGATAGAATGTCAATATGTGAAGAAAGCTATGGATATTTTTCCTCGGAGTTTTCAGGAAATTTAGGTAAAATTGGGAACAAAATTGTCGGGACATTTGGAGGAAAAACGTTCTCAACTTTTTCCGAAAATTCATGATTTATTAAAAGAAATTTGGCAATGCCTGAAGGCTCATACGGCGTTTTTCCTTAGCACGGCAGAAAAGCGCGCATCTCTGTTTGCAAGGCACCAGACTACCTCTCATAATGTACCTCTTAACTAGTAGGCTATGCTGCGTCGTGCTAAGGAAGAACGCCGCCGTATGAACATTCGAGAGTTGCCAAATTTCTTTCGATAAAATGTTTATTTTTGAAGAAAATTATGAATATTTTCCCTTGAAATTTTCAGACTTTTTAGATCAAATTACAAACAAATTTATCTGAGAAATTAGTAGACAAATGTTCAACAATTTTCCTGAAAATTAGTGATTTGCCAACGCCTGAAGGCTCGCACGGCGTTCTTCCTTAGCACGGCAGAAATTCCGCCGAGTGTTGTCTTTAATATTGGATCATTTTTATTTCCAAGTTCAATGTAGCTCTTGCATCAATTTCCATGTGAAACGACTCAGCCAAGGTCGATTGACCCAGGTCAGTCACTCGGAAGTGGAGTCGCGATGTAAACTACGATAGAGCGATAGACGTCCGACTTCCTCGTTGTGGGGCTCAAGATGCATACAGTGGCGTGGCGTGCTTTGCGATATATCGATTGATTTGTCATTGTACCTATGGAAAAGGATCGATAAACAGGGTGTTCGCAACGGACACCTTAATAATCGATTCTTTACCACGGATTCAAATGGGGAAATATCGATAGTCGATCATTCACGCCACGCCACTGATTTCATAGGATTGTCCCCCGCCCCCGCACTAGATCTATATTGCTGAAATTTCGAGGGCTCCTACAGGGTTGCCACAGTCAGGGAAAACCGGGAAATGTCAGGGAATTTTAAAAGGTCAGGGAAAACCGGGAAACGTCGGGGAAAAATACGAAAATGACGAAAACGTCAAGAAAAATTTCTTAAATCACCGTCTTTTGCTTTCTAGAATGGGTTTGAGGTTTATAACGTCAAATTTTGCCTGAAAACTGTTTTCAACTATGCCCTCTAAACCATCCGTCACACCTTCAATTGTCAGGGAATTATACCAAAATGTGTCAGGGAAATGAGGGAATTTCATTTTCTAAATTCTGTGGCAACCCTGCTCCTACCCACCGTGTAAAGGGGCTTCAAGATAATATCGCTCGTGGATGAAGCCTGGCTCGGTCCTCCGACCTTCGCGGCGGGAAGCATATTTCTTCCTGTAAAAATGCAATTTCTATACTTTTAATCTAGGCTTATTCTAAAACTAGTTTCCCAGCTTGTCGTCCAAACCGTCAAAGGCGGATAAGAAGTTTCCCGTCTCTGAACCCACGCGCGAGAACCAGTGTTGTTAAATACTCGAGTATTTCAGATTGAGGCTATGGATTCGATCCACATGAATCCATCGAAAAATAATAACGTGAATTCATCCATGTGAACCGATCGACAACCGTGAGTCGATCGAATTATGTCGATCGAATCACGCGATCGGTTCACTTCTTTTTTCGATCGGGTTTTGTCGATCGAAGTGACCTCGACACCGGTTTTCGAATAATTTGTCGATCGAATCTGTGTCGCTTTGGTTCACGTCGATCGATTCTCGTTGTTGTCGATCGAATCCATAGCCTCCTTCCAGATTTTAAGTACCAGGAATTTCACAAGAGGTGACCAAAAGAGCACTCTGCATCAACGATTATTTTCTTCTGTAAAAGTCAATGAAATTTCCACGCCGAAGTTGTCGGTCGCAAGAACCCAACTTTGGTAAAGATTACAAAAGTGATCGATGTGAGTATGGCTAATGAAAACCGGAATTCGGTTTTTTTTACCAAAAACTTCGGTTACCTGGCTGGAAGAAAACTGTTGTTTCATATGAACCGATTTTTGTTCGCCAAACATTCATCCTAATTTTTCTTTTTTATTTCTGTTGCAGGATTGTGTGACACTCAACAAAAATGGCGATACTTCTCAAATATATAGATGACTTCCATGAAGTGTTTAATAAATATGGCGGTGAGTTCAAACATAAGATTACTAAATCAGGTCCACGGGTGTACCGAATGTTGAATTGATCTGATATTAGAGATAATTGAAATAAACAATGAGCGAGAACAAGTGTAATTTTCCCGATCAGAGTCAATTTTTCATTTAAAGATCTTGAAATCGAAAGGATCCTTATTTTCATCAACTTAATTGTATGTCATTTTGTATGTTGTGACGTCAAGATCAGTCCCCGCTAAGTCGCTTCATATTTCTCTCAAGTCACCTTTATTAGCCTTTCAGAATGGGTTCGACTTTTTGAACGACAAATTTTGCCTAATAACTATTTCTAATTATGACTTTTTACATCTGGCATACCTTCCATTGTCAGGGAATTTCACTAAAATGTGTCAGGGAATTACATTTTCTAAATTTTGTGGCAATCCTGATACACTTTTCACTACCTAGTATGTTTCCGAGACTTTATTGTGCTACCTATTGTTTCGCAATTTCACCCATAAAATCATATACTTGTATCTAGGCTCGTGGCTCGAGGCTTGTGGTGTTACAGATTTCCTGTCGTATTTCATGTTTTCGAAAGACGAATGGTAATATTTCTTGTTCCAAATTCTGTGCGATTCATCAGGATTGTTCTTCGCACATTGTGGTTTTGAATGTCAAAAATAGTTTTTCAAAAAAAAAATCCAAGCTAAGAACGACTCGTTAAATTAGGTTAAAGAAAAATCTACATGTCGTGCTCAAATAACTATATTTTTTTGCGATCGCGAGGGCTGGCCACGTTCTAATACATTCAAATAATGCATTTCTCGGAAAATTGACAATGTCGCGTTAAAAATCAGGAATGGTTTACTTCATCGGCACCACAGGCAACGCTGGAATCAAGTTAAGGTGTAAGAAAAACAATCCAAGTTCCAGTTAATGTCGCATGCAACGGGTACTAAACAAATTTCACTGTAAAACCTTGATGCAACTATTCGGGCTCCATGGATGTCCATGTTGCATACGCACGGGAGTGAAGGCGTTTTAACTTGAGAGATTCCAGCGACGCGAGTCAATAAGAGGAGTCGGACAAAGCGTGGAAACATTAAAAGCTCATATCGATGTTAATACGGAGCGTAGCGGTTTCAGAAAGGGTTTTGTTGATTTTCTCGTAAAATTTACTGCAAGTAGCACCCCATACAATTTATAATGTGAAGAAATTAACATCACTTGGAGTTTTAGTCGAAGATTTCATGTCCAACCCCTCGGAAAGGCTCGCACGCACATCCTACGCCCGTATACAACTGTTCGTGCGTAGGTGATATCTTTGTAGTATAAACGAAGAATTGAAGGCGCTCCTCCATTTTGCCCGCCGCGCTGCGGGTGAAGTGGTGAGGGCCTGGAAACTCAAAACGCCTTCAAGTCCGTGCGTATGCAATTCGGACATCCATGGAGCCCGAATTGTTGCATCCATGCAGGAGTTAAAATCTAATGTTTATGGTGTTTGCCGCATTGGACACTAACTAAGAGAGCTTCGCCTGTTTCTCACACACCGTAACTGAAGTGCAGCCTTGCCTAATATGCCGTTTGAAGAGACTATTACAGATTTTTATAGCGACATTTTCAATTTTCCGAATAATGCTTTGATTGTTTTAATAAACGTTGGCGTCCGGAAGAAATGCGAGCCTGCAGTATTTCCGTTGACATCGCAAATGTAGATCCTGTCTCGCTCATTTTCGCTCTGCACTGGAAAAATAAAATATTGGATTAAGAGTCAAGTCTCTTAAAAACACCGACAAGAAAAAGTACTCTTGATTCAATCAGAATCTAGCTTAAATCAAGAACCAAGCCTCTTACTTTAAGCGGATTTCGTTTTGATTCAAGCAAAAATCCGATTGAATCAAAAGTATTTTTTCTTGTCAATGTTTTCAAGAGTCTGGACTCTAGATCCGATGTGTTTTTTTTTCCAGTGTGGGTGTTGTATTACTCGCCGTAAAATTAATTGTCTTACCAAACACAGAGCGGCTTTTCTTTTACTGCGAACGGCACTAAACTAATTATGTAATGATACGTTCCTCGTAGGTATGCAATCATGTTTAATTTTGTTTCTTTGGCTCGTATTTCAGATCCTAGGACAAGTAATTGGTTCTTGATGAGCAGCCCAGTTCCTACTTTTCTAGTTTGTATTTCCTATGTTTATTTGGTCAAAGTTCTCGGACCTCGGTTAATGGCCAACAGAAAACCTATGCAATTACGCAAGCTTCTCATTGCCTACAATTTATTTCAAGTTGTTTTTAGTTCATGGCTCTTTTACGAGGTAAGAGATTTTTTTTTACTATTCTGTTATTTTATTTGTGCATTTGTTCAAACACACGGAAAAGAACTTCTCAAAGCATCATTGGAAACGTCCTATGAATATTTCCTTTTCTAAATTTCTGTGAAATTCTTTTTGTGAAATTCAGAATTCCCATCGTCCCGACGAGATTCTGGCTTTTGCAACAAGTATCACGTTGAAACGTCGCACAATGGATCGAGTCAATTGGAGAACTCGGACAAAATTTGGAAACTTTAAACGCCTATAACACCGTTCATATACAAACTTTAGAGTTCCTAAATTAGTTCCATTGGTTTCCTCGTGCAATTTTCTTCTTGATGCACCCCTCAAAATTGAAAATGTGACGATTTAGACATCAAAATTTGCAGTTTAAGTTGAAAATGTCATGTCCGACCTCTATAATTGACTCGATCCACTGTGCGTCGGGAATCCTGGTTGTCTGAAAAAGGTGGCCGAAAAAAAAATATTGAGGAAAAATGTATAGACGCTTTTATAAATGCTCTCGGAAACGTTTCATCGTTAAGGGTGCTAATTGTCTAGTTTTAATGTTTAAGGCCTCTTCAAAGTTTTTTTTTTTTCCATCACGACGGAATCCTTTTTTTCGTTTTTCGTGTCCGTCCCAAGCACGTTCAGTTGATAACGTGGCGTTCTTCGAGATATATTTATTAATTAGCCATTTGAACCTTTGGAAAAGCATCGATTAACAGGACGTTTCCAATTATCGATTCTTTACCGTAGTCTCAAATGGGGAAATATCAATAGTCGATCATTCATGCCTCGCCATTGCGTTCAGTCATTTCTAATAATCAAATGAAAAATGTTTGAAAAGCCTCACGGATGTTGTCATGTTTAAAGGCAAGGCGAGGCAGGTATACATTTTGAGAAGTGATATTACGAGCTGGTTGTCAATACGACGCATAAGTAAACTTATTCATGCTTAAGAGAACTATGTACCTACGCAGTGCCTCTTAATTTATTTCATTTGCACCAGTGATGCCAGGCGTACGGATTTATCCGTGCCGCGCGGACATTCCCTATACCGACACGGACCGCGTACGAACCAAAACCTTATGGGAAAAACGCTTCCCTATCTTAAAATATCCGTACGCGTGACGTCACAGAATGACGCTCAGCCAATAGTAGCACGGAGAGCGGTAGAGCGTACGGATCTCGTACACGGAGCACCCGGGAACACTGATTTGCACACAGTTCTTCTTAACATTATACCGTCCAAGTCAGCTTAGGCAGGATTTTTCTGTGTACCTAAAGGTAACTGAATTTTCTCACTACCAGTGGTGAGGCGTGCATGATCGATTATCTATATTTCCCCATTTGGAGCTATGGTAAAGAATCGATTATTAAGATGTTGGTCGCGAACACCCTGTTCATCGATCCTTCATGATAGGTTTAAATGGCAGATCAATCGATTTATCGCAAAGCACGCCACGCGACTGCTCATTACTCGGAGAGACAAAGACGGATTGACATATTACTGACAATGCGTGAGCCCTCTTTTAGACGAGCTTGCGCGACGCTCCGTAGATTATTCACATAATTAGAATTTGTCATGTCTCGGGAGAGATCGCCCACCGAAATCAAGCATCGTGAAATTCTCACGCGGTCAGTCTCATTAGTCATTACATTCCCGCGATTCAAGATTCATTAACGCGATGGTATCTCGCGCCGTCGCTGGCGTCGTATTCTCGTCCCCTAGTAGCAGTGGCTGTTGAGAAAGGTTGTAAAAAACTCGTAGATTTTAAGAGAACTTAAAAACTTCAAAACCACTTGAAAATTACGTAAAAAACTCTTGAAATATAAGTATCAGGGAACCCTTTTTGGGTTTTTTTTTACATAAAATTGAAGACAAATTTTAAGTAAAATTTACGTATTTTTTTTTATAAACTGCCCGCGGGCAAAAACGAGGGGAAAAAAGTGATGAACTGGAAAAGTATTAAAGGGAAAGTTGCAGCCCATAAAAATTGAGGATATAGTTTGTCGATTTTTACGTAAATTTTATGTTTTCTTTTAATTAAAATAACACTATTTTTTTATTTAAAAGAATTCCCCAAAAAGGTTTCCTAAAACGAGTATTTCAAGAGTTTTTTTTTACTTAAAATTTACAAGTTTTTTACATTTTTTTGGACAACTTTTTGTAGAATTTATTTTAAGAGCCATCGCTATTAGGGTCGTCCAGAAAATGCCGGCTTCTGATCATCTTTCAGCTAGTTTATTGTAAGATAAAAAGCTGCACAACTTTAGCGACAATGTAATACTATTCCTTTTTGCAATAATGCAATGTGCGAAGCAAGATTCACGAAGAGCCCAATTGGCAGATTGGCTCAGTGTTTACGAAATACGCCTGTTAAAAATGTATTACATTCGCATTATCACTGTACTCTTGTGCTGTTAACGAGTTAATGTACTTGAAAGTCCATTTCACTACTTCACTTGCGCACATACATTACTAATACTGTCCCAGGCATAGTTTATTTGCAGGTATCGTTCAAAAGTTAAATTGTTTATATTACCTGTGGTATATGTTGTTTTGCTTGGTTCAGCAATAAGTACCTCTCTTGTGACTCCTTTTTGGTTTTTGAGGTGAGGACACTCAAGCAAACTTGAATATTAGCAGGGACGTAATGTCAGCTGAATCCTAGGTAAAAAATACGAGCTTGCGATTAAAACTTAAGTCTACACCCTCAAAACTTTATGGCGCTTAAAGAATTGCTTTGAAAACTTTCTCCTTACCATTTAAAGGTCATTTAAATTCATGAGAACCTAGTTAGAAGAATTATTTTTAACCCCTTTTTTTCCACTGTCCATTTTCTATTTTCAGTTATTTATCAACATGTTCAACATCGTACCTTTTTTTTTTTCTATGTTTTGCACCAACTTCTAAATCAGTTCTTTTTTCCTTGCAGTTAGCCGCGAGCGGATGGCTCACAGGTGATTATAGTTTACGTTGCCAGCCTGTTGACTATTCAGACTCACCGCGAACTTTAAGGGTAAGTATCTTATTGAATGAATATTGTATTTATCTCTTTGTGAACTGTATTTTACTGTGTCATATAAAATATGACATGTGCCATGTCCACATCATGAACCAACCGGAGAAAGTCCCTCTAAATTCATTCCAAGGAAAATGACGTACTATAATCTTGTTGTTAAGTGTTTGTCCCCCTTTTTTGTTGATATTGAGAGATAATATATTGTATAAGAGACAAGTTTAAAACAGTTTAACTAAAATATTTTTAGGGCATAATGCCATAATAACTTGCCAATTGGCTTCCACTTTTTTAAATTCATTTTCCGAAAGTACCGAGTTTACTAGGCTTCCAGGAATTTTTCAGATCTGTTTGATCCTAATGGCAAAGGAAATCTGCTTCGAAAATGCCGAAACTGGGACCCATTTGAAATGATATTTTTGGGGGGCTCTAATGACGTAGCCAGGCGGGGAAAACGGCGTTTGCTGATTGGCTGAATGCAGCTTCAGGCGTCCCCTTCCATTTTTTAAATTCATTCCTGTCAACTCAACTGTCGAATTTTGAGTAACATTTTCTCCCCTTGGAAATACCTTTTTAAACTTTACGACGAACTCTCCAGTTTTTTCTCGTAATTTTATGCCAGAGTAATTACAGTACAACCCTGCAAAAATTCCTTGCCACCACCCTTAAACTGATATTGGTTATTTACTCATCCTCTTCTTTAATTTAAGCACATTAAATCTTTACGTACAAAAGATTCAAGTCTTGATGTGATCTACATTCTTTATCATTCTTGATGCACAGCTTCAAGTTTTGAATCCTACTTTTTTTCAACTGTCAATTTACTAAAATCAAACACTACTAGTCACATTATTATCAAATCTTAGATTTTGCTCTCTTAATATTGAAACTTATATTTTTCTCCCTCATTTCAGATGGTACGAGTGTGTTGGTGGTATTACTTTTCAAAATTTACAGAATTTTTTGATACCGTAAGTTCAACTTTTGATAAATTTCTAGTCCACTTTTGTATCAATTATGTAATTTTTAGTGATATTCCTCTAACATGATTTGTTTGTTTGTGGTGCCAATTGATCTTTAATGTATTACATTAAATTGTATTTGAATATGTGGAAAAGCTATAATGGGTTTGAAGGAACAATACATAGACAAACATAGGTCAACTTGAAATTAGAAGTTTATTTTATGCATTACGCATGTCATCTGAATTTTTTTTCTAGTCTGGGCAATAAGAAGAAAATACTTTTCAAAGTGTTTAAAGATGCCTCTGAGTTAGTTAGTATTTTCCTTTTAAGTTTGTGTCTCGCCAGGTACAATCATTCTCCCGTTTTCCTTTTGATATTTCAGTTCTACAATCAGGGACTAGTTTGGGTTCAATTCATGCGGCTTCTTTGATATTCAAATCAAATGAATTCTCTTTCAGAAACCCGCAAATCCGCCATTAAAATCAGATTTTTTTTTACATATAGTGCCAAAGGTGAACAAAATTTGCATAAGAAGTGTACAAAAACACTGTGTTAGTAATTCAAGTAATTTAGATGACATACCTCACCATAATAGAGCTACTTGGAGGACAAGGCCCAAAAGTGAAGTTTTTCCCACTTCAAGAAGTATGTGTTTAAAATTTCGAAATTACATGGAGCCTTGTGGCAAAAAGAAAATTCAACCTTGCTTTTAGATGCCTAAAAATTGCTTTTTAGTCCCGAATTTTTCAGAGATTATATTTTAAGACTATTTCTATAATCATAATCATTAGTCAACAATCTATAATCATTAATACCTTAATTTTTTCGAAAACTGCCTTTATGCGCCCTGTCCTTCAAGCCCCTCAGTAGAAGTGGAGGGCCAGCAAAAAATTGTGTCTCTTCTGTCTGAAGTTATCACAAGGTCGTTGCTTGAGTAATAAAATTTTGTGTTGGTAATGGGGAAAGACAAGACTAAGGGAAAATGGAGTTAAATGGGTACATACAAAATCAGGCTTAAGTCATTTCTTGTGTTGGCGATACGTTGTTGTGGATTCCACCTGACATAGATATAACTACGTTGATTCCAGCTGACACAACTACAAGAACGACTGGCAAAGCCTTCAAGTCACATACCTTTATTTCTCCAAGTCCTATCTCATCCAGTCCAGAGACACTGAATTTCAACCATTAGTCAATAGGTGACACTAATTTTGAGTATGATCTTTTGAGACTGGCAATTCGGGCTTCATCTAGTTTTAAGTAAAATAAAAATATTATGAACACCCCTGCTTATAATGAAGAAGCAGAAGATCGGACCGAAATCTGATTTAATTTTTCACAAGTTGTATGAATTTTCACATCAACGTGAACATTTTTTTCCATTTCTTTAAATTAAGAAGTAAATTGAGCATGTTTTTTTTTCTTTAAGATATTTTTTGTACTGCGGAAGAAAACAAGGCATGTTTCTCTGCTACACGTAATTCATCACGGTGTGATGCCTATGAGCGTCTGGTTTGGAGTCAAATTTACACCAGGAGGACATAGTACTTTCTTTGGACTGTTAAATACGTTTGTACATATTATAATGTATGCATACTACCTTCTCGCTGCCCTGGGACCACAAGTACAAAAATACCTCTGGTGGAAGAAGTATTTAACTTTCATTCAGATGGTAAGTTTTTCTTTTCATAGTTATTGCTTATTTAAGTTCTTCACCCTCAGCTTTCTGAAAAAATGAGGAAATATTTTGCCCATGAAAAATATCTGGTTCAGTCATAATTTTTACAAAAAGCCATCTTTTTCTTCTCTCTTCAAGGATATCTCTTTCTACCGTCCTCTCCCCTTCCGCCCCAGAAGCATGTCTTACTCAATATGTACTTTCTTAGTTCTTACTCACGCCTCTTTGTCGGGTCACTGTTAAATATGTTTATGGAGTAAACTCCAAGCGTTATTTTATCATGATTTTTTGCGTGGTGATACCAACCATGAGCATTGTTTTTTCTCAAACCAAAAATTGCAATAATCAACTATCTGCAGGTCAATGCCCCCTAAGCTTAACTGATCCATTCCAGTAATAAAAAGGGAAGAAAGATGTACAACGAAGGTCTGTGCCCCCCCCCCTCCAAAAATAATTAAACAGTAGAATAAAAATGTTAAGTCTCCAAGTGATAACAGTAGAAGAAACAAAAGGATAGAACACAAATTAGGATGGAGGATGTTTGTATTCAAGTACTTAATTTACTTTAATTAATTTGGATTTATAATACTAACCGCATTCTTTCATTTTCTTTCGCAGGTTCAATTTGTACTCATCATGGTTCATGCCTTCCAGCTATTCTTTACGGATTGCAATTACCCTCGAGCATTTGCTTGGTGGATAGGACTTCATGCTGTGATGTTCTTTTTCTTATTTAAAGGATTCTACAAGCAACAATATTCTTCCAAAACTAGTCTCAAGGTATGTTTGCTCAGTTTAGATTTCTATCCAGTGTTCGAAACTCACAGGCGCCAATGCGCCAAATGCACTTAAGAAATCGGTCATGGCCCCCCCAAAAAATCCTAATTTTTCTGTTGGGTGATTTTTCGAAATTTCCCCCAAGTTGCAGCTACTAGTTCTGTAACTAAAACATCTTCCGTCAATCTTTTCACTGAATGTGGTGTGATGTATAGGCATAAAGTGAATTTGGCCCCTAAAAAATCTTCAATGGTCTCTAAAAATCGAGCTTGATGCGCCGCATGGCTCCTGAAACTCAAAGTGGAGTTTTGAACACTGTTTCTATCAATACCAGGTAAAACTTAAAGCAGAGTCGTAAAATATAGTCTCCAAAATAAATCACTCGTTTATATTCAAAAATTCAGATGAAAGTAGTAAAAACTGCACTGGTAATTCTGAAACGTTGAATGAGTAGGTATAAAAGTGACTCTTGTTCTTTTCCTCTTTATCACAATTTAGCCTTCTGTAAACAGCAAAACGTTTAAGAATACAAGACTGACCCTCTCTCTTATCGCTGTGTATCCTAAAATTCAGATTATATGAGATGCTTTGGTCACAACCTCGGCAATCACGTCTTGTACTCTCAAGATGCTTCTAAGCATCGTTTCACGATAAGAAATCACAGAATGACCGAATCTCCTGATCAGATAAAGAAATAATCATAAGACTTTTAAAAAAAAACAACTGGGATTGTAATGTATCATATGAAAGGTTCTAACGTTTCATCGCTGGGTGTAAACTAATCCCAAGAGTTTTATAATCATCAGTTTTACTCAAGCAAAGTAACAATATTTAAAAATCAGAAGTGAAGTGCTGTTTTTAGTCTTATTATTTTAACTACTGAATTATTTTTTCCAAAATAACCCTATTCCTGGAGCATTGTGAAGATGAAGGGACTATATAGCTGTGTTAGTGACAGGGATGCCAAGAGCTTCTGGCCCCCCCATGCTAAAAACCCCCTTTCCCTCAGAATTTCAAAGTGATAACCTTCACCTTTTTTTTGATACATGGCTTTGTATGTATAAATTGCCGTGGTTTTGCAAAGAAACCTGTGATTTTTACCATTGTGAAGTGTTTGACTTTTTAACTCTGATTCTCCTTAACTGATAGAGCTTTAAATGTAAATACTTCTGAGTTGAAGTTGTTGAGAAATGCAAAAATGCTGCTAGAAAATACAGTTTGGCTGAATGCAAATGCCGCATCCACAGCAACAAAAGGGTTAAGCTACGTTGGCGTTCTTTGAAGAAAGAAAGAAAGAAAGAAAGAAAGAAAGAAATAAGCTCAATCAGAGGCAACAGATGCAACGTTTCACAAGTGTATGAAAACATCTTATTTGGAATGAGTGAATTTAATTTGTAGATCATGTGAGACAGCAGCTCATGACTAATAAAACTTTTTTAACAGTTAAAACTCAATCATGCAAATGGGAATGCTGTTAAACCTGGAGAAAAAAGTTTGGATGATATAGATTCTCCTAAATCGCCAGTTCAAAAAGCTATTTTGGACTGGGAATTGCGACTGAAAGAGAAAGGTGAAGTCTCCTATCCAAAGCGGAAAATAATAACCAAAGATTTCCCATAAGAAATCCAGGTACTCTCCTTTGAAACGGTTTTTTAGCAACTTCCGGTGGTATTTGCAACTGAGCTTGGATTTATCGTCAGACAAATCATTGCTTCTGTGCATTGGAAGAATGTGAAGGAGCCGGTTAAATCCTATTGCTTGATTTCTCAAAATTCTCCGAAGAAAGCCTTTTTCTTTGGGTCCTCATTGTAATTTGATCTTGATTTGGGTGTGAGCAAAATTTTTCAACAGCTCTCTCTGTTTTGCTCAGAGAATTTTATCGGATCGGAAATGAATCAGTTATTGCTCGATTAGCTTCTTATTCACGCCTAGTCATTGCACTTCTGAGAATATCTGAGGCTCTTAATAAATATCATCAACAGTTTACATCAATGGTCATTGAACGTTATTTCAATTCATGTTGATTGATACCAGACATATACAGGGTAATTCAGGGTTAAACGGCCAGACTGCAGGAGTCGAAACACCCCGAACCCCCTCTTTAAATCAAGATTTCGATTTTGTTTCAGATCATTTATGAATTCAGGGCATAAAAGTATAGGGGAGTGCAAACTGTCTTAAGCTTTGGTTCAAAACCCTTGCCAAAATTCAGTAAAAACAATTTACTCTCCGAAATTTTGAGGGGGGGGGGGCGTAGCTCCGACTGAGAGCACTTTTGGAAAAAAACTTTTTACAACAAAAAATTCTTAATCCGACCCATAGAACAAGCTCCCGCAGTCTGGTCGTTTAACCCTGGATCACTCTGTAAATGTAGGCCCTGTAATTTACATAATTTTAAATAAACATGTTTAAATTTAAAACAAATACATAAAAGGGGGAAAATTTTTTTGAAGGATGATGAATTGCTCCTATTTTTTGCCTTCTGAAGTGTGTATTTATTGTTGGTTTTTGAGGTAGCCTCAGCTTACTTGTGAAATCCTTGAAGTTTATTGATCAATAATTACTGACTTTTAAAGCCATCTCTTCAGCCATTTAAATTTGACAAGCTGAATTTCAGTCTAAGTCTCCGATTAGTTTTTGTTTTAAAAATGTCTGCAAAAATCATTTACTTTCATCAATCTTTCTCTGGAACATGGTTCTTGTGGTCTTGGAAGGTGCTTGTTTTTTTGGGAGGTGCTTGAATTCAACTTAATTTTAATTTCAGAGGTACTTTATTGTGATTACAAAATATTAAAGCATGTGATTAAAAGACCACCAGGAAAGACATACTCGAAGAATTTTAATTCAAAGAGAAACAATGTGTACTTATTCCGATGAAATCCTTACTACAGCAGCAGCAGGAGTGTGGTTTTTTATCTTTGTAAGACGCACCTATTTATTGCTGACTATTATCAGCATCAGCAAAGCACCATGGCATCATTGCCAGGCACTCAAAATGGAACAATTTGATGTCTCATGGTGTTCAAAATTTTAGAACTTGACCAAAATTTGTGGATAACGTTCTGTACCCATGATAATTGCCAGTTATTTGTGCAGAAATTTTTGCGAATTATTTGAGATTGCATGGCATGGGTATATTGGTTGAAAAAACTGTTAAATCGTGAAGTTGATACTCAGGTAATATTTTTATGCGAAAATATTGATTCACAAAACCGGTTGACCGGAAGGCATTGACCAAATGTATCTCTACCTAGGTACAATTTACGTTTTCCTTCATCGATTCTAGGATGTTTTAGTTGTTTTTGAGCTACTCCTATATTTATACTAAGTTTGGTATGTAGTAGAAGTGGTGTTGGTATTTTTCCAAAATCATTCGACTGAGCACAACATATGAGAGTTTTTAAGTGACAGAATATTAAAAAAAAAAAAAAAAAAAAAAAAAAAAAAAAAAAAATCCATAATTATTTGAGGAAAAATACATATTTAACAATGATACTTTTTATTTTATCATTTTTTAATGCTTTTATTATTGTATTGAGATAATTATGAGATATTTCATGAGATAAAAAATTAATGAGTCATGGTTTAACATTAATAAAATACAAATAATGAATCAATTCAAACCAAAAATCTCTGGCCATTTCCTCTCACCCAAAGAGAAAGCAGAAACCTTAGTTGAAAGGACTAGATGCATAGCAATCCTTACTTCAAACTGACGAATTGAGGTCGCCTCTCATTTGCTGAAAATTCGTGTCAACTAAAGCAGTCGGTAGGGGCTAAAATTTTCAAGTGTTAAAGTAATGATTGGTTTTTTGTTTTGTTTTTTTGTTTGCTCTGAAACAACTATTACACACGGAAACATTAATTCTTAACAATGCCAAAAATTAATTCTTAGGAATTTTATGAAGATAGGCGAATCTAGGCGATGAGTACTGCTGAATTTTAATCTTAAGTAGAATGTCTATGCAAATGTTTAAAATGAAAGAGAGTAAGGAGGTGAGTATTTTGTTTCTACCTGTCGCAGTTCGTTATACAGAGGATTTTAGGAAATAATTTCTTATAAGAGAAGGCTCGGCAGTGCCTGTCTTTGGTTTAGATGCAGTTTGCAGCAATCCATTGATCTGATCGGTGAGTATTTTCAAGTTTGCAGTTTTTTTATTCCTGCTTTTGATTCTGTTTTGTTTTGTTTTGTAGGTTGATGCAGGAGAGTCGAACTCAGCTCATGCAACCACAAATGGTTTTTCGCAAGGGGTCAAAACCAATGGAGTGAGCAACGGTTATCACAAACCCGCAGACTACTATGCAAATGGTCTCTCCCATCGAAGCTCAACTCTAAAAAGCGAGAATCATATTGACTGAATTATCTCAGCCTTTTGTGTCCTCATTGGTCATTGCCTCTTTTACCTAAAAGTTTTTTGTCGGTATTTTTTACCTTAATTTTTTTCCTCAATACATTTATCAGTTTGTCAAAAAAATTTTAGTGCAAAAGAGCCCTGAAAAGAAAGGAATACAAAAATGGAGACTTATAAACTATTTTCAGGCTAGGTTAATTTTCATTTCAATTTTGTTAAGCTATTGATAACAATACAGGTGGGAAGGGGGGTTTCTTTCTAGGTAATTTTTTAGGAAGCCGTCAAATAATGACATGTATTATATATTAAATCAAAATTGCTCATTGTTATTAAATTTATTTATTTTTCCTGTCTATGTCTTTGATTGATATTATAAGGATTTATTTGTGAACTTTCATTTACTGAATTGTATCTTTGTTAATACCTTTCTCATACCTCATACCTTCTGTAGATTCATTTGCATACCAGTCTGCAAATTTGGAAAAATGTAAGTTCACTTTGGCATGATTTTTTTAAATATTTGTTTTACAACTTTTGAGTTTGGTTGTCCATAGAACGACCCTTGTATGCTGCATCAATCAGATATACCCACAAATAATTAAAAATAACCAAGTGAAAAGCTCATTTCCTCAATCCTGTGCCAGATAATTTTAAGTTTTTTCCTAGCTTTAAAATTTGCCAGTGGCAATTTTTCTAAATACTTGAAAATCGAGCACATTTGTAATACTTCATCCGCAAACTTTTTTTGAAAATTATTCAGGAGTTGAAATTTTTTTGTCTCGCATGGGCCATTGTTGAATCATCTTGTCTCGCATGGGCCATTGTTGAATCATCATCTTATGAGCTTAATCAATTAAGCCCTATCTTAGCAATTCTATCCATTGATTGAGGTCTTTTGATAATGTTTCAATAATTGAAGCGTTGATTCTTTAAAAAATTGAACTCTATCTATTTAAATTTTTTTGAAGCAAGGAAGGAGCTATCATAACTTTCATTTTAAAATGAAGAACATGACGATAAGAACATTTTTTTTCTCATTGTATCCTACAATGCAGCGTGCTCATTTTTACCCATCAATCGTGAAAAATACAACTGTTTGAAGTGCAGGACCATTCCACCTTTACAACTTCTCAGTCTGCATTGTTTTTGTTGATAAGTCATTTCTTAATTTTTTAATAATAAATCATTCTTTTTTTTACAATAGAAATTAAACTTTCATTGTTTTTAAAACATCAAGTAGGTTTTCAATGAAAGTAATTATCATGAAATCAAAGAACCTTGCACCGAACGTTTGAGCAAGTGATCCTATGTGACTTTAAAATAAGTGTTCCGAGCGGTTCTTTCATTGATCGGTTCATTCTTTCAATTGAGTTGAAGTCATGGACGTTCTCGATGCTTGTCTGTCCTGTGAGCTGATTATTGCAATATATGTTGAAACGATATGACATCGAACATTGATATATTAAATTGGAGAGATGGGACTTCGCCTTGACAATATAGCTTCAATTATTCTCAACAACCGGCCTGCTAGCAGATTAAAGAAATCAACAAGCATGTGCTGTTTGTCTTATTACATAGGTTCTTCAAGATGGAGAGCAAAGTTACACGCAGAGTAAAATATCGTGTGAGTTATCAACATGAATGGGCCCCTAGACAAGGTATGAAGTACAGATTTTTGCCGCATTTTTTTCTTAAAAATTTTAACAGAAAAACTAATCTGCCGAGGAGGGGTCCGAAATCAACTTTTTAACGAGATTCAAGTGTTTACAATTAAAATTGATGAAATTGCAAGAATGCAAATGACATAGTGTGGTTAATCTAACTTCCATTTGATCTGTGTTAAAAACATAGTTGTCATCTTGTTCAGGATTTGATTGTCAAAATTCCTGCTGTGTGAATCGTTCTCCACGGGAGATTTTGAAAAGCGAATGTGTGACCGTATTTTCTAGGTCGGACCATGCTTAGCAGCTCATTTGCACCTGGGCATCTTGCTGAGGATACAATCAGCTATTATGAAACACAAAATTCTGGAAAACCAATATCTAGTCAATGTGATTACCAGTTATAATTGCGGGAAAACCACCTTAAAGAATTATTTGACATGATACTTACTTTTTTGTCCATTGCCGTGTCATTCATTGTCAATAGGACAAGTATTAACTCAGCACGTTTTCAGTTTGATTGTATTTTGCAGTAAGGAATAACTATTTTTGGCCTATTTATCCAGACAGGAGAAACTGATGGCATTTCTTATTGTCCCTAATGTGAGCCTCAAATAGTATCTCCACGTTGCAAAGCCTTGAAATGAACCCTTGTTGCAATCGAAAACTTTGTTGTCATTATTGACAATGTTCAGCTCTTCAAACTCTCAATAATTTTGTCCTCATTTCACTCTCTTTCATAAAGCTTTACTCAAAGTGCTCTTTCCTTTCCGTAGTCCATATTTCATCAGGTAACTTCAACTGACTCATGCCTGTATTAAATTAATCAAAATTTTATTCCATAAAAAAATCAACGAGAGGTTTTCATAAAAATCATAGGTTAACAGAGTGATTCACTAATTTGTTGACATTAGTACATACGTGTATTTATATATGTTAAGTATGAGGCGACCATAGACTTAGGATTTTTCAATTTTTATATCAAGCAATTTCTCTATTTTTTGCAGAAAACGTTTTTTATATTTTAAACTATCAAACCTGCAGCCGTTCTCACACCACTCCCAGCTTGCAGATGATCCATGATGTAAACCAACATTTTGTCGCACACTTTAAGATCATCATCTATTTTCTGCGGCTCTTGAATATTTTGCATTATTTCACCACAAGCCTATTCTGGGCAAGTCTATCTTACAGCCCTGGAAATGATCTCCTCTTATGACAGGTTGCAATTTGTTGAAATTTTTAATCCTGAAAAATCATGGCACTTTTGCAATGCAAAACGCTGAGAAATTAAAAGACAGGCTCTGAGATCCATCGCAAACTTCTAATATTTCGAATCGAGAAAAATCCTGAGAGTACAGCAGAACATATTGCTGAGATTTTGATGTGTAGGTTTTGAAATTATTTAGCACGCTGGTTTCCTAATTGAGTACTTACTAAAAGCTTCATCAATTCAAGTTCGTAAAGTGTATCAATGGCTGTAACTCTCAATACCCTCTTTCAGACATCCTCAAATGATTTCTGTAATGAAACATCATAAAGGTACTTTTTCATGGCGTTGCTGCAGTGCTGAAGTGTATCAAAGTAACAAAACTCTTTTGTCTTTCCTGATCTTTTCAAATCGTAAATTTAAGAAGTCATAAAACAAAATTCTTGAAGATAACATCTGATTGATTTATTATTGTTTTAACTGCAAAAGGAATTGATAAGAATTCATAAGAGACAATTTAAGAGTAATTTTTTTCCTCCCAGCTACAATACTTTTGAAGTACATACAATGAAAGGCATTTAGTGTCATCCTTCTTTACTTCTCTGAAATATGATCTTTTGCCCAAAATTAGAAATTGTTTGTTTTGCCATTTTGAGAATTTTTCGCACTGTTTTTGAAATTCCCACTAATAATGAAGAATAGCATACCTATCCCAACAGACGTCATTTTATTGTCAGCAGCGGACTGCTTTTTCAACAGAAATGAAGAAGTGCAACCTTTTGCCACCGCGCACCCTACTGTATTCATGTCTGATGACTCCTAAAGTTGAAGATTCTTTTAAAAATATGTACTTAATTTGTCCCTATTTTCTTTATCTCTACCAATTTGCTCTCTACTGTGGAAAAAATCCGTTACAAATATGTAGTTTCTTGCTGTTCATTTTATCAAAAATCCTTGAATTGCTGCGTTTTGGCTCTTCATTTCTGTTAAGTTCAACGCATTTTTTCATGGTGTTTTCAAATTTGCAGCGATGCACCTGCTCAAAATTTGTGACAAAGAATCCTGCCCCTGTCTCTCCACCTACCATTTAACTCCCTTAGTGTTAAAATTTCCAAGTTAAAAGCGCCCTCAAAGCTACGGCACAGCAAAGCTGATACTTGTTGTAGAAGTGCGCGTAAACGAAAAACTTATGTTGTAACTTCCTTTCTCATCCTTTCAGAGAATTTTTGCATGTTGCTAAGTAAGATTATAATTACCAAAAGCATTTACATTACCAAAGCATAATGTGAGGGATCCTGTCGAAGTAATAGGGGGCCGTCTGTAAGATACGTATAGCTGAAAATCGGACATTTTGACACCCCTTTTCCTTGCAACGCACCTGTTAAATAGATCTGCACCCCCACTAAAAAAAGTATTTAACTCTCAGTTTGATTCCCTCCTTAAAATTTGGGTTTTATAATACATTCTGAATGAAAAATTGCTATTTTGCTTCGATTTTCTCATTAGATTTTCGACAAATTAGCTCCATACGCCCATTTTAGCATCATGTGTCCATTGTAGCATTACATACTTGCGGAGGCTCAGCTCTCCTCCCATGTCATCCCTGAGAGCGTTACGTATTTTATAAAAGGCCCCCACTGCCCCTAGACATGTTTTCTGCCTGAAATAGCAACATTTAAAAGGACCATAGCTGTTCTTGAGTGATTTAGCCCAATTGTGGGGAATTTTTTTTTACCCATCGTATAACATAGATGATTCACATTTCATATGATAATAATAGATACTTTGTTAAATTGCATTTTTGAAGATGTCCATGTTACTCCATTACATGTAATCATTCTAAATAAAGTAAATTTTCCTGTTTTACTTGGGTTTATTGTGTTTTCAATCAAGGTATTAGGTGGAAAAACTACCCAAGTATCACAATTCAATATTGAAATAATTTTGCCATTTATTGCAAAGCATTCACAGCATTATTCGGTTTGTCCTGGGAATTTCTCTTTTTTGGGAATCAACTCTTTTTTTCAATGTTGTTGGTCATTTTTTATGCTTGGCTAGAGAACCTGAGGGAAGCAGTGAAAGTTGAAAATTAAATCTGATGAAGAAAAAAAAAAAAGAATTACATTTTTATTTTTCTTTTATTTCGATCATTTTTATTTATATATCTCTGATAGAAGCTCATTAAAAACAAATCAAATCTTGATGTATAAGAACTGTCAGCTATTCCAATGGGTCAGTTGCGCTGGTCACAGAATCATGTTTCAATGTTTGATTATTGTAGATTAACGAAAAATAATAAAATCTGTCCAAACCGCAACTTACGTTCAATATTAACTGAGATATAGTCCTTTGAAAAGTCAGGTTTTTGACGTCATCCACCGCAGCAGTGACACCACTGGTTTTTTCCTCTTTTGTTCGGTCAGTGATGCAGAGGGTGCAACACAAAACCTCAATAGCGTTAAACGTAAACAAACTCAAGAAACAGACGGATTCGCATTTTAAAGATCTTCTTATCAGGAGATCACACACTCGCTGTGAAGAGATTAGGCGGTCAGTTAATTTACCTTAGTTTGTTTACGTTCAACGCCATTGAAGTTTTGCGTTGCACCCTCTATATCACTGATCGAACACAAGAAGAAGAAACCAAGGGTATCATTGCCACGGTGGATGACGTCAAAAACCTGACATTTCAAAGGGTGGTATCTCGGTCAATATTGAACGTAGGACGTTGCGGTTTGAACATATCTTATTATTTTCAGCTAATCTACAATAATCAAGCATCAAAACACGATTCTGTGACCCATTGAATAACTGTAAATATTCTTGCACACTCTATTTTGCAAAAATGACACTGAACGCCAGACCAGTCACAAAGTTGGAAAACACTCTACAAAAACATAAGTGCATCATTTTAGTGTGAACCCTCAACTGCAGAAGAGCACCAACACAGGATGATTCTCAACTTCTTTCCTTCATCAATGGCTTAAGTACGAAGCCACGTGACTCCGTTTGCAACGTTGTAGACTTCCTGTCATACTTTATACAGGGTGCGGCAAAAGTCCCGGGACGGCTGCTTATTTTTTAAACGGCTACACGTAGAAAAACGAATTTTGGGAGATGTTCTTGGGTCAAAGTAAGCTACTTTTTGGCACTCCCCAAAATTTTTTTGGGGGCCCCCCTAGGGGAGGGCGGGGGGGCAACTTTTTTTTTTCAAATGGCAACCCCCCCTTTGTGATACCTCATTCGAAAGATAATAAAAAAAGAAAAATTTTGGCGCAAACCGCAGGTCAAAATGTTCATTTTTGACAAAATGGCGGCCGGTCAAAGTTCAAAATGGCGGAAATTTGGCATCTCCGTTGTTTATTGACGGATTGGTGTGAAACTCGGAATCCTAGGGTTTTTCGAAATGAGAAAAACGATTCTGGCATTGGTTTTCCAGAAAAGTCAGTCCTTTTCAAAATGGCGGCGGTCAAAATGGCGGCCTCGAGCGGGAAGTGGATATTTAGGTTGCATATCGTTGGATTTGCATGAAACTTGGTATCTGGGGGTATTTCGGCACGAGAAGAACGAATCTTTCATTGGATATCTGAAATTTTGACAAATTCCAAAATGGCGGCGGAAAAATTGCGGGAAATCAGTTTTACGGTTCTTTACCTTTGGATTTGCATGAAATTCGATATCCTGGCGGTTTTTGGCTCGTTATAAAGGAATCTTTCATTAGATTCTTGAAGTATCAAATAGTTTCATGCAAATCCATCCGTAAAGAGCCGTTAAACTGATTTCCCGCAATTTTTCCGCCGCCATTTTGGAATTTGTCAAAATTTCAGATATCCAATGAAAGATTCGTTCTTCTCGTGCCGAAATACCCCCAGATACCAAGTTTCATGCAAATCCAACGATATGCAACCTAAATATCCACTTCCCGCTCGAGGCCGCCATTTTGACCGCCGCCATTTAGAAAAGGACTGACTTTTCTGGAAAACCAATGCCAGAATCGTTTTTCTCATTTCGAAAAACCCTGGGATTCCGAGTTTCACACCAATCCGTCAATAAACAACGGAGATGCCAAATTTCCGCCATTTTGAACTTTGACCGGCCGCCATTTTGTCAAAAATGAACATTTTGACCTGCGGTTTGCGCCAAAATTTTTCTTTTTTTATTATCTTTCGAATGAGGTATCACAAAGGGGGGGTTGCCATTTGAAAAAAAAAGTTGCCCCCCGCCCTCCCCTAAGGGGGCCCCCAAAAAAATTTTGGGGAGTGCCAAAAAGTAGCTTACTTTGACCCAAGAACATCCCCCAAAATTCGTTTTTCTACGTGTAGCCGTTTAAAAAATAAGCAGCCGTCCCGGGACTTTTGCCGCACCCTGTATTTTCATTTGAAAACTAGTCAACATAATTTCACGAAAACTTCCTTGATTTTTATTCTTTATTAGCAAAATTTTCCATAGAAATTCCAAGTTATACAGATGACATTTTTTTCTTCGAAAAATTGACATTTTGAAACACTGTAATGGAGATGCGTGGTTTTGCACTTCAGCCATCAACATATTGAAACTAAATCGGTTGGCCGAGTCAAGCCGATATGGCTCCAAACATGGCCATTCCCTACAACCTTGCACTCATTCTTTTAAGAGTGAGACTTTTTAAAGTGACTGATGTAGCAGAGGAAAGTAAATGATGACCCTGAAGGGTTCATGCTCAAAGCGTCGTTCCCTAAACAAAGGAACGCAATTCCATTCCAAGATTGAAAAATTGATTGAAATAATTCAATTCCTTTGAAGAGAATATGACTATGCAAATTCTGTCCTAATTTTGACTAATTTTTAATGTGTTCTGAAAAAAGGCAGCAAAATTTTCAGTTAAAAAAGCCCTACAATTTTGTAATATAGTTTAATTAGAGTGTGAAAATTTCGCGACCATACAATGTAAAATGAATAATGACGATTTATCATGTAGCATAAAAAATACATTTAAATCTCTTCTTCTTATTGCTGTAATTTTTCATTCAATTATGACATTCATATTTTTTGTTCATTTGTTAAGGAAACGACATGGAAATAGCATTATTGTCTCTGACTCAATTCAGTGGACACTGTGATAATGCATGCAATCAGTGGCATGGGATGGGTTCGAAAATTACGCAAATGTACTGAATCACCTTCTCATCAAGGAGGGTCATGAGGGATTTCAGCTGGAAAATTTGAAAAATCTATATCGACAGTGTAAGTCCGCAATCACAAATCTCGTTTGCGGTGTCTGAAAATCTCTACCTCTATGTTACTTTTTCAAAGGAGAACAAATTGACATAATTCCTTGAAGTTCATGCAGAATTTTCTTCGCACCGAGAAGCAAAATCACGGCAGTTTTAAAGAATTGCCGTTGAATAGTTTTCTATTTAAAAAATAAAGTATGATGGGAAGTCTCCAACGTCGCAAACCGAGTTATGTGATTGCCAACTTACGACGTCGATACGTACGTAGTGCCTCTTAAATCTGCATAATTTTTTTTAGGGCTTCCTCTTTTCTAATTAATTTTCTACAATGATTCAACCAGCTCCTGAACCCTAGGTTTCTTGTTCCTCCCAAAAATTGTGACGCAAATAGTGCGTCTAACTTGCTTGCCTGGACTGCACACCACTGCTTGCAAAGGACCCTGGAAATTACGTCTTTTCTTTTGTAGGACCCCTCCTTTTTATTTTCAGATATGAGCAAATTATAACTTAACAGGTTGATGAAAAATATGAAAAGAAATAGGTAAAAATGATAAACTAACGAATAAAAATAAAATGAAAATTCCATTAAAATTTGTTAATTACAAGTTATAGTCAATATAAAAAGAGAAAATCACGCAGCCCATGATTTTTTGCTGATCAACAAAACATTTCATTCCGAAGGAATAACCCCGGAGATCTTTGATATTTTTCAATAAATACAAATGTAAGTAGTGTTAGTAAAATTTGGTTAGGCAGTTATGAAAAACAATAAACTGAGGCATAGATCATAACAAATTTGGGTAATAGCAGTGCTGAATTATTTTCACGATGATATTTTAGATCCGCGCACTTAAAATTGACGAATACTGATTTTAAACCTGGAGGTAGAACTGCTCATTCTTTTCTGGTAAATTTTCTTCCTCTGCAACAGAATAATTAAAATAAGCTGTATAGTAAATTTGAAAGACAAGGAAAAAAATAAAATACACGTTATCATAGTCGGGTACCAAATAAAGAAGAATTCTGAGTCATTAACTTTGCTTTATTGAACTGCTTTGACTCATGGTAGATATTGTTGTAGTGGAGAAGATGTGTAAAACCAAAGCTGACTTTAAATAAAGCAATGCAGCTACATAGTAAGAATTAGAGTCTGACAGTTATGACTCTTCAAATATCAGGAAGCCACTACGACCAGTAAATCATTAATTAAGCATTAAAGTCCAGCAATTTTTCCAATACCAAGTGTGGCATCTAACTTTCTTCAGGGTGAAATGTATGAAACCGCAGAAGTGTGGCTATTTGCTTCAGTAAAAACATGTAATAGGGAATGGATTAATCTAAGAAAACATCTTAATTTCAGAGGTAACACATTTTTAGCTACTCTAGGAGCAGATAAAAATTCAAAAAAATTTTATGGATAGAATCCGCAAGTTACTACTTAACATTACCTCCTACTTCAGAGATTTAGGAAACTTAGAATTATACCAGTCTCATTAAGATGATAATTTTGCAATCATCTAACTAAAACTGCCAGTGCATCAAAAAGAGCGTTAGACTGTACATTGTCTAACATGATTTTCTCCGCTGATGAAGCATGGTATTTCTCAACATGACACAATGAAAACTGGGTTTATGGGTAAAAATTGAATACATGTGTGATTTTTAGTTTTTTTCCACTTAAATGATTATGTTTAATGGCTACAATAGAAAATTAGTCAAGATTGTGGTTTCTGGTTACAAACAGGACCTAAAATGGCATTTTTTCAGTCTTTTTGCTGCTTTCAACTACCTGACAATTTTGTTATCCGACATCCCTGATCGCCACATTGTGTCAGATGACCCCCAGACCACTCTACTCATTGATCAAGAATTAGGGTTGAACACTATGATACTTACGTAATGGTTTTCTTTTCTACATTTTTGACTTCAGGCCTGGCACGGTTTAGTACTTTCAGAAAGTCTGATGTTTTGGCTCGCATGCGTGAATGGATGTATGCTTTCGAACACTTAATGTGGTAGTGAAGATAATCCCGAAATATATGGATTAAATTAATTGTATTATCACGGGCTGCTTTGTTGGTATGCCTAGGAAACAGAACTGAAACACAAGAAGTAGATACATTTTTTTAGATTTACATCGAAACTAAAGAAAATTATTTTTAAAATAAATCAAGGTTTATTTTGGTGTTTGAATTTATGTGTTTGGAGAAAAGAATATTTTCCAGCTCTAACTTTCATCCTCATAAAGCAATGTTGACGAAGAATAATGGAATACTTAAAGAAAGCAATTGCTGAGGCTCAAATTTAAGAATATGAAAAATAAATAAAAATGTAAGAATGGTGTGTGGGTGCGATTTGGACGCTCTGATGACCTAAAGTAGACACTAAAACTGGCAATATTTGAGACCACAAAACTCCTACAGGCGGCTTGAATCTATCAAAACAAATTATAAAGTAAGTTGCTTTAAGACAAGCAAAATTCAGCCCACATGTTGGGACCACAAAGGTAAATTGATCGGATATAACATGCTGTGCAGTTGATATGGTGTCTATATTCCTGTTACTCTGTAGATCCAACTGAACATTTTTCAATTACGCGGAGCATCAAGATTTGCACTCATGAGGATGCCTTGGTGGGACTAAAAAATTAAGATAATTCTACAGGGAAAGAAAAAAAATTAAAAGCTCTGAATGAAATCAGTAAACTTGTTATGAAAGAGGAAAAAAACCAGGAGTACCTACATGGAGGTTAGGAACAAAACAAACATTTAATAATTTTTTTTTTCTTAAAAAAAGGAGATGGAGGTAGGGAACCCTTTCAAGACCACGGAAATTTGAATTCAAAACTTGAGATCAATTTGTAGTCTCCCGCTCTGGAAAATGTATCTTGTCTGCGCTGTTTCAGTATTTCTACAAAATTTTTGTTTTTTTATGGGAGAACCATCCCGCAAATTCATTTGAAAATGTTAAGTGTTCATTCTCGCAAGCGTGAAGAAAAGTCTCCGAAAATTTCTGGCAAATTCATGTGATGGTTCTCCTATAAAAAAAAAAAAAAATGCTGATTTTGGTCCAGGCCTGAGGTGTAGTTGCACGAGCCAGAGGTTTAGTTAATTCAACCATATTTCTGACTGATTCAACCATATCTCTGGCTGTTGCTATTGTACTCCTGGCTGCCACCAAAATCAGCCAGGATTACGAGTGAAAGTTTCATTTTTTTTTTTCTGTGAGTGTCTTCAAAGCAGGTTAGAGCAAGTAAATAAGTAGATAAATTACGTATGCTGCCCTCTGGTTGTCAGGAAGGGTTCCGAGAAAACTAACATTGCAACAGCCTTAAAACAAAACCAACTTTATTGTCATGCAGCAACTCTTCATGAAAACTAAAAGAAGTATGAGCAATACTAACCAAAAGTGATATAACCTATATTTTTTCCGACTTTCGCATCAGTGTTAGCAAGCTCTAAAGGTGGTTCACCGTAACTAAATAATACTTGTGGAGCAGTTTGACTTGCTTTTCTCCCTTCTTTGAATTCTTGCATAAAAACTTTTCCGATCACAACATCATCTTCATCTTTGAAGACAGTGCTAAAAACGACAGTGACTCTGTCAGCTTTTGCTTCCACATACCTGGGGTACATACAAAATATTCTTGAGTTCAATGGCTATTGATTTACAGAAAATGCAGTAGAAATTCAGAAAAGAAGTGGTGTAACGAACCTTGTCAAACAAAAATTCCAATCAAAGACCCCATGCACCAAAAAAACGGAGTCTCGACATGTTATAAAACTGTCTAAGGATGGTATGAAACTTTTTTCATACCGATTTTGCTATTTGAATAATATTCACTTAATGTGAATATCAGTATCGTAAGTATTAATAAAAAAAATATCTGTGAGAAAAAGTTATGATATCATCCTGATAATTGTGACTAATGAAGGAAATGAATCAAGTGATATAACAGACTAAGGTGCCGATATCACCTGGGGCTCCTTTCACTGCTTCAAATGCGCCTCACTCTCAGGACATAGAGGTGAGTGGCCGACCATAGAACATTCTGAGTTATACAAAACGTTTGAAGTGCAAGTGCACTAGTATTCGACTATTTTCATACTATGCTAGTACTCCGGCTTAATTTTGTGAAAGCATGTAAGGCGAGTATTGGCTTCTTTTTTGAAAGCTTTTTGTAGTTATATTAGCCAATGATGATGAGCAGAACACCTGGAGAGCCTCAGGCAAAATATGATTTGTAAAAGTTGCAGTTTCAACTTTTTCCATCGAATCAAACTGGTGTTATCGCAGTAAATCTCCCATGTCCAAGAACATACTAGAATATGATACTCCTGCAATGATTCAAAGGTGTACCAACTCAACAAGTTGGCAGGAAAATGCCTCACATTTTGAAAGGTTAGATTACTATATCGATGGCTAAAGTGTGAAACCACATTTCTCCGTTGCGGTGTTTCAAAATCTCTTCAAAATGTTAGTTCTTCAAAGAAAAAAAGTCATCTATATGACTTGAAATTTCTAGATAATATTTTGCTGATGAAGAAGAAAAATCAAAGAAATTTTCAAAACAGTAAGTTGACGAATTTCCCCATGAAAAAATAAAGTATGACAGGAAGTCTGCAACACTGCAAACGCAGATACGTTGTTTCAAACTTTGGCCATTAACATAATTTTTAATGCTTTTAACAACAAGCCTTGGAGACTATAACTTGCTTCTCTGAAATTCACTTTGCTGAGGATATTTCAGTTTTTTTCAAATTTGATTAATTGATCATTTGATGAGTGTATTATTTCATCTCAACATCTCTTGACATTCCTCGTTTCACTCAGGATTTACTGATACTTGCCAACTTTTGTAACCTCAGTTACGTTTACAGTGAAGATAGTCCACTTACATTTGAGAATTTTCACCAGTTGATTACACTTCAAATGTTTCCTCCTGAGGTTCACTAATTATGACAAAATTTATGGTTTTCACTTCCAAATCTAGTTTTAAAAAAATCTTCTCTGATACCTGAGTCCTAGAGCTTCCCAACTTTTTTCCTATGTAATATAAAAAAAGCAACTTACATTGTTTCATCCTGTCTGTAGTTGATGACAGCTCTTTTATGGCCTTCTTGAGCACCTTCTTGAATGTCGAAATATTTCTCAAATACAGACGCAAAGCAATTTCGTTTCAGTAATCCTATTTTTTTCACTATTTCCTCCCAATTATCGGGTATATCATCCAAATTGATTAATAATGAAATATTGTAACCTGCAAAAAAAAATAATAATAATAATAAAAATGGTTGCACACGGAAATTGTATACAAAAGACAAAAGATTTCAACCCAATCGAGATTGGAAAAAAATCTTATCTTGCTATTCAATTTTTTAGGGAAATTTCCTGTTTTTTGTAAATCTTATTTAGCTACAATCTTTCATACTTCTGCGGCTTACTCATTATTACAGATAATCAATTTCTCCAAAATTGTCCAGTTTGGTACTTCCACGAGTGTTTTCTGTATGTGTTAAGATGAATTATGTCTGTCAACAAGGGTCACAACGGTATTATCTTAGTGAAATATTTTGCATTTTGACTGATATCCATTAGAAAGCTACGGAGAGTTGATCATACAGGTTTGAACTTGCCACTGCATGATGGCAATAAGCCTTATTGGTCTCCTAGACTTCACTCATTGATGCTGGATGCACTTTATGCAGACAATAAATGGAAACCCAGACAAAGCCTGTTGCCGATTAATTCCAAGTGAGATAGAGACAAAGTGCTTTGATGGAAAAGATGTTTATAACGTCCACAAACAAACTACATGCAACTATTGCATGTAGAAGAACTGCATTGATCTTACACAAATAAAACTAATACAACTAATGTATGGAATTATTTTCTGAGGCAGTGCTACTGAAAAGTTATTAAAAATGCAAAAAAGAATAATAAGAAATATATTTCGTCTAGACAGGCGTGCTTCTTGTAGAGGCTCATTTATTCAACATCAAATTCCCGCTATTTACATCTTGTGCATAAGCGAATCTCTTAAGTTCTTCAACAACAACAGGACTCTTTTCACTTTCAACAGAGATTTAGCAGGGTATAAAAATAGAAATTGTAATAACATCTACATCAAACGGGGGAATAACAGAAGCCCAAGAGTGATGTCTACAACAATTTTTAATCACTTGCCATCACACATAAAAACAATTGTAAATCCCTCTGTATTTATGAAGACCGTAAAAATTTCACTGAGAACCAAGGCATACTATAGCCTTGACGAATACTTTAATGACACCCTCTAACCTTTTTTTCCACGTCCAGATTGAATTTCAACTTCGCATGTCTACATTCAATTTCAATCTCAATTTTAACTTCAATTTCAATGTTAACTTTATTTTTTTAAGTTACTTAAACTGTTTACTATGCAGCTGTATGTTATGTTTGACTTTGTCTTGAAATTGTATACATTTGTTACCTAATTTTGACAATAAATTATCAATCAATCAATCAAAACATTATGGCCGCAGAAACAATTTAAACTGTGCGTAAAAATACCAACCAGTTTCAGGTTCAACTAGAAGAGGTCCATATTCCTTCTTCAATAGCTCATCGGCACCATGCTCTTGAAGCTGTTTGTAAAATTTTAAAGCTATGCTTATCTGAAACAGAGAAATAAATATGAGCAATGAGCTGACATTACTTCTTGCTTACCAAAAAAAAATTTGATATTACAATACTAAATATATTTTTTGAGATCGTAAACTGAGTTTTTCAAGAATGTCTGAGAAATGTCTTGTAATCTTTTTTTTATTAATTAATTATCATTTCATACCCATACCTCTTGCCTCCATTTGAAGCTGTGATCAGTGCTCATAGAATGGGGAGCAAAAAAACATAGTAAAATAACAAACCAGGAATATTCATTTAAATCATCTGTTTGAAACATGAAAGAAGGTCCTCAGGGGTGGAACTCTAATCAGATAAATTGACATTAATTCACTTTGGACTCTCATGTGAGGTGGACCGTTCAGCTCTCTGTTGGGCAGTATTTTTGTCTCTGGGTAATCTTTTGACATTGTTCAGCAGAAGTACAGCTACCTGCTATTGAAATTAAGAAAATATCAAGTTAAATACAAGTTGCTCTATCACCACCCAAACCCTATTTAATTAAGTAAACGTTCTCACTAAAGAAGAGACATGACTAATAGAATCAAAGAAAAAACAAACCTTAATGCTTGCTTTAGAAACTTTTTCATTGGAAATATGAAATAAAACACCGTCAAAATCGGCTATGATGATATCTATCAAGTCTGGTTTGTGCCTGCAAGACAGAAAGAAAACAAAATGATAAAATAAATAGGTAACAATCTTCAAATCAGTAAGTAGGTAACAGCTTAAGGTTTTACAGTTGATAAATAAAAGCATAGTCAAATAATTCCTTACTTGTTTGATGTTTCCTAATTAAGTATGTACAAATAAAAATTTCAGCACATACAATTCTCTAATGTCCTGAGCATAGTTGCCACCCAAGACGATCAGAATTGTTAGGAGTCGCTGTGAAGATTTTAGGTAAAGTTTTGAGAGATCAAATGTTCAATTGGGATGCCTAATACAATTGAGTAATGCATTTTCTAATACAATTTGAAATAACTTTATTGCTTTCGGGATTGGATGAAAAAGACAGGAAACATAAAACATTCTCCTTTCCCTGAGACTTAATTTTCAGTGCTATTTCTTATACCTACTTCAAAAATGTTTTAATATTTGTAGCCATTATGATGCAGTTTGGACTATTACGTAGATCTTTGCATCAAAAGTTAGAATTTTCCAGAGGAGGCATTTCACTTTTGCCCTCTGGGCCCATTGCTAAGAACCACCGAAAAGGTGCATGGTGTGATAATAGAGAGAAATGTAACACATACAAGATACCCATGCCTAAGTATTTATAACCATCGTTGAGGCTGATTAGCTGCAACTCACTTTCTATCTCTGAAAATTGACTGAAAAGGATAGTGCCAGTATTGACACAAAGTAACCATAAATAAAGGTAAGTTAAGCTTTATAAACTGTTTGCTCTCAAACTAAATTTGCTGTGTGGAGAAGAGAAAAAAAGGGTAACTTATTGCAAACAGGGTCTTTGAGAACGGTCAGGGAGCGTCCAAAGGTAAACAAGCTCCCATCCTAACCTCAAACCTCAGATATTCAGTGCCGAATCAAATACTTAGGTGGTAATGCATCAGAGGTTTCAGAGAAATGCACCTAAAATGTTCATTGACTATATTTTAGATCTCAAAAATTAGTACCAGAGAACAAGTAAAACTTGATTTGTCTGGTACTTCGAATAAAAAGGAACGATTGCAGGGGGCACTCATTTCGGAAAATGGTGCGGAACTTCAAATGAATGCAACGCTTCCCTTTCCTCAAGGGAAACGTGAGAGTGACTTCGTCTTCACAAATACGATCACAGATGAATAATGAATTACTTGATTGAGATAAAAATACAAAATTAGTTGAATATTTGGGTGGCAGTACTTGCCAAACACAATAGGAGACCTCGGTGCAAATGCAGAGCTTTCACAAGGACACTTCAATAAAAATGTTTGAGACTTTTCCTTACCCTGCCAGCGCATTTTTAAACTTAGTTGTTAGAGTTTCTTCTACAATCCTGTTATTAATTTCCAGCAAAATCATTGCAAGTTTGATTCACGAAGCGCGACGTAGACAATCGAGATTGCACGGTAGTGGAAAACAACTAGAAATCGAACTAATACACATAGAAAACTTTACAACGTTACTTATACCTAATAAAGAAAAAAGAGATATCTACTTATTAATGGATATAACAAGAAAAAGGCCATGGGCGGTGGTATTATCGTCTTAAAACAGAAACAAACATTCGGAGTCAAACCGCGACTCGGCGAAACGAAAAGTAGGAGAGATAACCCGGGTTGGTTCACTTCCACCGATGAGTCTTCGATTGTCCTCGTCGATGAGTTCATCTCGTAAGCAAGGTTGCCAGGTGGTGCATATTAATATTTTTCTTCCTTCTACTACGTTTTTTTTTTAAAAAAAAAAAAATGATGGACTAGCATTATTATTTGTACAATAAAATTACTCTCAAATGGAATGGCAACTGAAGCAACTGTCAGAGAAAACAGATTTTGGATCTCGGCGACCTAGAAACATAAGAAGAAATTGAAGCAACTAGGTATAAAAGCAACTTGCGGACAATCCATGAGTGACTGATGGCGCATGGCGCTGTGAGAATTTCAAAATAGATAAGGATATGATGACATGACAATTGAATCCGGTATATCGATGCTGATGTGGAGGGCAAGAGACATGGCGATACCGCTATCAACGCTTTTGCAGGAAGCAGGGAACACGCTTGTCGATCCTTTTCCGTCATGCCTGTTTATGGCATCAAACTTCCCTCCACCCCGGCCGGCCGGCCGTTTTTGAAAAAATTACATACAGAGAGCAGGCATGTGAAGGCGCAGCTTCAGAACGAGAAGAGAACGGAGGATTGGACGGGTGATTATGCTCTTTTTTCGTTCTTTTTCTTGACATAAATACGTCGTCACGTTTCGACATATATATTTTCTATTTTTCCATGACTATTTGAGCAACTATTTTGGCACAGTATTCAAATATGTATGTAGCATGGTATCAGATGAAAATGAAGGCGCACCAGTGTATTCATATTTGCGTTGACGCATTTTGCGCATTGCTCCAACGAACGCCGCGCCCCCGCGCCGGCAGCGCCGGGTAGAATTTGTTTGTTCCTTATTCCGGAAAATATCCAGCCAGCTCCAGCTATTTGTCATTCAAATGGATTCGGTGGAAAAACTGGAATTTTTCCATAGCGCCCTGAGCACTGATTCGTCCGCTCGGATATAGCCGATGGAGCAGTGCATTAATTGCACGAAGCACTTTTTTCAATTTTTCAGCTTCATTTTTTATGACCCTTGCCCCTTCCAAAAGCATCAAGTACCTATTTGACTGGATCTCTTACCCAAATTTTCTACAAAAGTAAAGAAGAGGACGAAGAGAAGAGGGAGAGGGAAAATAGTGACGGAAATCGTGTAAAATGAATGAATGGGGGAAAATTATTTTACTTTTAATAAATACTCTATGAAAACGAAAGTGAATATCTTACTATAGTTAGAAAGGTTGCTTAGTTGGAAATTATAGAGAGCAAGGCCCTAGCATTAAATTTTTTGCCCAGACACTAATTTGACTCACAATCAGTGGGGTCCGCCATAAAAAGAGTCACGGCAGAGGGGGTATGAAGGTCTTAGCCCCATATAATACGGGACGGGGTTCATTCCCGCAATATTTTGAGACATTGAAGCTGAATTGCTTTCTTTTTTGACAGTTTAAGCGGTAAATTTCCAGGTTACCTAAACCTTAAAATGGTACTTTTCAGGTTTTTTTATGTGAAAAAACGAAATAGAAAAGTCATCAACAAGCAGCAATTTTATGACAGAATGTCAGTGAACTGCGTTTTATTTTTCCTTTGGAAAACGAATCAAGACGTTTTCGTCGGAAATAATTTTATTAATTTATTTATTTATTTTATTTATTTAATCATAATTACGAAACAAAATCACAATAATAATCATATTTAAACTGGCAAGACCCTTCTGTAAGCAATGCTGCTTGCGTGGAGGGCTGCATACAGAGAATAACAACATATAAAAATATTTAACATAAGGTAGCCCTGCCTGGTAGGTAAACTGAACAGTCTATAAAGTAAAAGTACAATAAACATACAATACAATAAAGAAATAATATGTTTCGGAAGGTACTCCTAATTTTCGAATTTGGAACTTTCTCAAATTGCCAAGCCAGACGTTCGTTCACGGCGCTTCAAGCAACTATTTCAACCTTGATGTGTTGCATAGTATCATAAGCAAATGAAGGCGCGCTCGAATTAAGCGCATAATTTAGCTGATATTTTTCAGCAGCAGGGAACAAGGCTAGTGGCGCAGGAAAAATTATTCTCTTTCAGTTTTCGACTCCATACCTCTGTGGTTTCAAAGGGTTTTTTTTTACTGTATTTTCAAATACGTGTCACCGTCACGTCGCAGGTCAATGCCTGTCTGCCGATGCGGCAATGTGGGAGAAATAGGTATTATAAAGGAGACAACTCGGCAACACTGGTAACACTCTGCCGCAGTCTGTCGGCATTTGTAGCTTTGGTTTGTACTTGCCATGGCTTGAAAAATGTGTCCTTTTTTCCTTTTCAGGACTGTTTATTGTCCGCAAATCCAGTTATAATGGTGCATTTACTTCTTCTCGCGATAGGCTCTCATCCAGTGTAACAATAGTTAATTTTTATGTCCAAATATCAACGATGGATCTTCCGCAGGCACCACAAGGTGAGAGGTTATGTTATGCTGATTCAAGTCAGATTCATGATTTATTTCAGTATTTTTTTGTTCTTTCATTATTTTCTGCATATTCGAATTATCCAGCGAAAGAATGCATTTGTAGTTTCCCTAAAAAAACGCGTGTTTCCCTTTATCTTATTCTCTGTGGACTACACCTACCGCTCCTAGCTCACAATTTGGATGATCTGCCTCCAAGTAATAACGGAACTTAACTGGAAACATGTCATTATACCAAGATAAGAGTAACATTAATCCAACCTTGAGACTCAGTTCAAATACGTCTTATACTTAGTTATTCAATTCCTTGCAAAACAAGACGCTGCCTCTATTCGGAGCTGTGATCAGTAATTGGCGATGTGGGTATCAGAAATCTAGAAGAGTTTCTCGCTATCAGTTTCTCTCTTAGAGTGCACAGACCCATTTGACTAACTTTATTATTTGCATAGAAAGATATTCCACGGATTACATGGTGCCATCAAGTGGTGTATGCGGGTTTAATGTCTCTGTGATATCTGCATCATCATGAATAAGCACCATTCTTACTTTACTTTTAAACGTTTTTAAACAAGTTTATGGTTGATTCATCTTCATTTTTCATCAGCCAAAAGTATTATTGAGGAAGGAGTTTACTGACATCTTCCTCAATCCAAGAGAAGTGACTTCAAAGCCCAATTCAGGCGCTTTATCTTTTTGTTGGCTTTGTCGGATGTAAAGTCGGATTTTGGGATAGGTACTAGAACAAGAACACACAATCTGACAAAATGAAGAACAGAAATTTGAACTTAACATGTGCAACATTTTATTGGTGTATGCTTCCATATTCAAAAATTCAATGAAATCCTGTCACGTTTCAGATATTGAGCTTAGAAATATTATTGATAAGCTAGCACAATTTGTTGCCAGAAATGGACCCGAATTTGAGGAAATGACCAAAAACAAACAAAAAGATAATCCAAAATTCAGTTTTTTATTTGGCGGAGAATACTACAACTATTACAAATATAAAGTTTCTTCTGAACAAGGATGTAAGTATATTTTTGTTCATTTTTATAATTGCTCCATTTGAATTGATACTAAGTAGTATTCGACAGTTGAATGTCCATAGGCTATCCCAAATTGAATGCAACGATAGCGACTTAAAAAAAAAACTAAAAAAGGTATCAACATGCGGTTTAGACAAAGCTCTACAGGACGTTATTACCGATCAAATGAGACCTTGTTGAGCTCATTTGATGAAAAATTCGCCGATTTACAGAGTTTTGAAAATAGCGTATTGGCAAACCGCCTGCACGATTTTTATGATGTTTTGTTAAGAAAAGCATAAATGAGCTGCAAATCATTTTGTACAGTGATTAAATGACACAAGCAAGTGAAACTGGCAACAGAGCGGTAACAGCGGCAACACTGTGGCTAGAGGACATGCGTTGCCATGGAAACGGCCTAAATTGGCCGGCGGCATGCAGTCGCCTGCTGTTGTCAAACAGGTGTCATTTATACTTCCTTATCTTGTGCCATTTTTCGCAATGAGTTCGGAGTTAAGGAGAGGACAACATTACCCGATCAGCACAATCTTCACCATATGCACATTGCTATTTATCAAATCTATCTGCCAAAGATAAACCAAGACGAACACAAAAACGGATTGCGTAATGTTGTTCTCTCCTTAACTCCGAACTCATTGCGAAAAATGGCACAAGATTGGGAAGTGTGAATGACATCTGTTTTGCGACTGCATGCTGCCGGCCGAATTTTGGCCATTTCCATGGGAACACAAGTCCCTTAGTGGCAGTGTTGCCAGCTGTCACTGCTCTGTTGCCCGTTTCACTTGCTTGTGTCATTTAATCACTGTACAAAATGATTTGCAACTGGTTTGTTTTTCTTGAGGAAACACCCTAAAAATTGTGCAGGCGGTTTGCCAACACGTCATTTTCAAAACGCTGTAAATCAGCGAGTTTTTTATAAATGACCTCAACAAGGTCTCATTCGATTGGTAATTATGTCCTCTAGAGCTCTGTCTAACCCACATGTCGATATCTTCTTTAGATTTTCTTTTAAATTGCCATCATTGCATTCTTTTTGGGACAGCCTATGTAGCAACGTTTGAGGCATAGTTGAAGTACCTCAATCTCTGAAAAAACTGACGTGGTTGTGTTTTTCTAAAAAAAAAGGAGGAGAAGAAAAAAAAATTTCAGCAGGCTTACAGGAAGGAGAAAATTTTGGTAGAATGAAAACCCTCATAACAACTTAAGATTTCCTTTGGTAAAATTAAGCACTTACAAATATCATAGATTTTAAGACAAATTTTTGTGCAAAATTATCTCAGTGTAGTATCCCTAATGGTGTAAGCGATTTCAAGATTGCTTAGTTATCTACTGAGGAAGCTATCTTTTTAGGAAAGTAAGAAATACTGGTCATTCCATGCCATCTGATGCTACTTTGAAAAAGTGACCCCATCAGAATTTGATGAAGTTTAGCATACTTAGTGTACATGCATAGCTTCGGAAAAACCCTATAAACCTTAAAATCGAGCATCTTTTGTTCTATCATCATTTCATTTTTTCTCTTGTGATTGCAGTGCTAAAAGGTAGCAAAGATGTGCCTCCTGCAGGAAATCGAAGCATGAGTGACTCTGGTAGTTCTCATTTACAACTAGCCGCTGCTGCTGTTCAATGGCTGCAGGCAGCACAGCAGCAGTCCAATTCTGGTACCACTGTCAGCAGTCTAATTCAGCAACAGAGTGCTTTAAACGAACAAATTATACAGAGCGAGAGTAACCTTTCCGCTCAACATGCTGTAAGTAAAATTAATTTTATTCTCTGTCTGTCAGGAATTTGATGCCTAAATAGTATCTTTTGTCATCATCATCATCATTTTATCAATAGCATCACCCCAAAAAAGGCTACTAAAATGAGAGCTGGTTCTTTGTGCAGCGAGAGAATTTTATCTTTGATATCTTGTATTTTCGTAAAACCATTTAAACCAGGAAATTGTTACAATCTGATTTAACAAATATACTTTTTGAGCCCAAAAAATGTAACACTCATGTTGAAAAAAAGCGAGAGGAGTGCAATTTATTTTCATGTAATTTGTTTCCAGCAATTTCCAGCAGGGTCGTACGAAAAGCTCCCTCCCCTCTACTTTAAAGTATTTTTTAACTTGTCAAGATGATAGAGGATGTTTGACATTACAATGATAGAAAATGTCAATTTTTCTCTTGTGTATTAAGTAATGTTTGAAATTCCTAATCAGTACTATGTTTCATACATAATGTAATTGACACCCCAATAGGGGTGGCTGTACAAATAAAGTTACTAAAAAAAAGTGTTTCTTACAGAACGTTTGTATCAAGAGTATATGATCTCTTGGTAAGAAAGCATTCTCCGATGGTTCGTTTCCAGCCTTGTCCAGTGGTCCATTGATTTCACCATGAATCAGTTGTGCCACAGCCACCAACATATTTTAATTTTTACTTCATCTTTCTCGCACTTTTGTGAATAACATTCAAAATGTCAATGTTTTAACAATTTATTGTGTTTGAATCTGCAGGTGTTAATGCAGCAACAACAGTTGTCAATTGATGACACCATTTCAAAATCGATCTCAGAAAAGTTACACAAAGATGCCGCCGAGTGTGGTATCAACTTCGATGAATTTAATTCAATTTTACAGCCCATCATCGATTCGTGTACAAAGGACTCAATATCAAACGGAAAGTCCTGGATTCTACAAAGAGCGACAGCCCCTAAACCAAACTCTGTAATATCTAACTACTTATTGAGCAAGTAAGGGCAAATTATTTTAATCACACCTTCTTTTATTTCTAACCTTTCATTATTTTTTGGACTTCTCTCCAAAAACATCACTCACTTGACCTGGGACCACCAGATTAAAAAAATTCTCTATTTCAGATTCTAAGTATGTTAAATTCTGAAGTACGATCGAGATTAATTAACACGGTTACCAGAAGTCTCCCATCGAGGTCTACTAGGACACAAATATTCTTTCAGTGGCCACAGATGTGTAATTGTTTTTTTTTTTTTTTTTTTTTTTTTTTTTTTTTTTTTTTTAAATCTCGGAAAAATGTTAGATATGATTGTCAGCAAGCTGTACATTTAAAAATTGTATTCTAGCAACAAAATAGTATCATTTACTTCTGTGATAGGACTTTAATACTTATGCAATTTACATGTCAACCGTACTTATTGTCCTTTTTGAAAGCAATGCGCAACACTTGTGTCTATGTTGATTTCATTCATTCCTGTTAAAGTATTTGTAGGGAATTGTTCTTGCTACGTACAATTTTTCACCTAAAGCAAAATTGTTTTTCTTTTTAGAGTGCTTGAGCCTGGAGCAACTTTTCTTCAAAAACTGCATGTAATTTATTTGGTTAATGATATCTTACACCATTGGTAAGTTCTTTAGGTAACTTAAAATAATTTTTACTTTGACTTTGAGTGTCTACTCTGAAGACAAATATTCTTTTGTGATCTCCCCTGATACTAGACCTAAGCCAGGGATCTCCTGAAGAGTTCAATCCAAGGCTGTAGATTATGATAGTAATAGCCGTTCAGATTGCTCTTTCCTTTTACAGTGTACATGAAGACTTAGCAACAATAAAGGACCAAGTGCCCCAAAATAAAAAATGAAGTTATATGTGGCATTCCGTTCTTAGCTTCAAGGACAACATCTTGCACAATGAGACAAGTGCCACTAAGAATAAAGTAATGTTTGTAACGTCCAAAAGATAGCACTAGCGGTATGTTCCGCTGCAATTTTGCAGTGACAAGTCTTCATTTATTTTTAAATGTATCTATTGTCCAACTGTTGACTACTTTGTTTGTCTTGATGGCTCTCAATTTAACCAGTTGTTTGGACCGGAAAAAAATAATCAAAACAAAGCATCAAAAGCCTAATATGAATTGAACTACCTGTATTCCATCATTATTTTATGTATGCTGTAGTTTTGAAGAATGTAAGAAGTCTTCTATTATTTTCAGTGTACGAAAGGGCACCGATGGATTGAAAAAAGCTTTAGAAATTGTTGTTGTACCTATGTTTTGTTCCGCCTCATTGGATGCAACTGAAGATCAACAAGGGAAACTCAATAAGGTATGATCCTTTGCTTGTTTCCTCTTTAAAGCTTTTCACTTGCTCGTAGAGGAAAGTGACAAATTCACGTGGTTTCATTTAACATAATCAGACTGATTAAACCTGAGCTTGTGGAAATTGACGAAAATTTCATGGGGCATGATGTTGGAATTTACAAATGATGTAGTCTTAGGTATGCTAAAAGCTAGGTATGCTAGAGCTAGGTAAGTTGTACGCAAACACTACTTATATAGTTCCTTTTAGCATAAGTATGTCCATTTGTCCATTTCAGAAGATCCCCTAGGTAAATGACGCTAAATTTTGGGATTTTTTCAGTAAGTCCTTTTTTCCACAGTATAATAAGACCTCAATAAGTCAAAATGTATCACTTCTTCACGCTATCCTCACACTTTAATACTTGAAATTGCTTGTAACTTGCAGGAAAACCCCATTTCCGTCACAGATTGCCAAAAACTTTGTTCACTTAAACAACTTTATCTGGATTGCTCAAATTTTTTTGCACTTGTTTTTTTACCTCAGTGATATAAAGGAACTCCTGTTTCTTGAAGAAAGCACTTATAAATCATCGTTGGAACTGTAAAGTTTTCTCTGTCCCTGACCATTATATTAAATGACTGCTACTTCTGTATCTTTGAATCATACTTCTGTATCATGCAATAAAACCATCTGAGGAAGTTATTTCATGAATTTTTCTCACCCCCTCTACTAAACTTAGACACTATGTGGAAGAACATGCATCAACTTCCGGAATGTGCGACTGGCCCGGTCGTGTGCCGGTCACATGAAAAGAGGGAACCCAAACAAGAAAGGGAACAAATGGGGAATCCCCATAAAAACAGGGAAACCTTGTGTGAAAAAAGGCGTTTTAGTGGTGGAATACTTAATCTGACTTCTGGGGTAAAAAATGTTTCTTCCTAGTCTCCTGGGGAAGGGGTCATAAATTTTATGGTGAAAAATGAAGGAGGATCGATTGAACTTGAGGGAAGTCTCAGTTTAGAAACGCCTGACACGGAACTTGTATGTTTACAAAAATGATAATAATTAGGACAAGATTTTACGTAATCTATATATTCACTTGTTTTATTTTTATATGAACCCGAATAACTTTGCCACGATTTCAATATGTCTGAACTGTCATGACAGCTCAAAAGCAAGATTTATCTCTCGGATTAAAAAGTTGTTTTCATGTGCTTCATTGCCTCTTTTTTCCAAGAATTTTTCTGTACGAACCATTGTATGTTTGTGATTTATTTTTTAACATATCATGATTATGTTTGTTCCAGTTATTAACACTGTGGGAATCGAAAAACCATTATTTCGACGGGGACATTATCTCTAAGCTAAAGGAGCCTCAAACTTCTTGGACTGATTACAAATCAGCTTTAATGGCATCTCACTCTTCCATCGTTGAGACTATCTCAGCAGCAACTAAGGCAACATTACATAACTATCAATCACAGCATGAAGCATTCGTCAACCATGCATTACAGCAAATTCAAGTAAGTTTTCGAGATTATTGATCAAACATTTATTTGTAATTTCTGATTTCTGAAGGGACGAGTTCATTCTGAATACTTTGGTTCATGCATAACCACACGTGAGGTTGTTATTTTAAATCTTCAGAGACCTGATAACATTAAGGATTTTCTAACTTCACTTTGCAATTCCCAAGTTTTTAGAAGCAGTCGGTTTTTTTCTAGAAGTAGTTGGATGAGGAGATCCACTATTGGAGTGAGACTGAGAGCTATTGGAGTTTTCAAAGGCAGGGAAATTGAGCTTTTTCAATGATTATCAGTTACACAAACTGATTGCGGTGGACGCAGGGGTCGTAAGACAGTGTGTTGGAGTATTTTGCCAATGTGCGCTAAACATTCAACATAAAGCTGAAAATCTCAATATATATGAGCTTTTTCCCTCCGTATTGAGATTTTCAGCTTTGCTTATGTTGAATTTTTTACGCACTTTGGCATAAAACTCCAACATACTACAGTATCAGTTACTTGGGCTAAAGCTCGAGAGCCCAACGAAAAGACACGCATGGCAAAAATGTAAAGATTCAGAGCTCTGACAGCAGCAGCCTCATCGAAATGTAACAATTATTCCAGAGCAAGGTGTAATGGTAGCCGATTGATAAGAATTCATTATTTCAACACCCCAAGGTTTAACTTTTTACAGAGCTGTAAAAAAGCTCTCCTAAGCAATGACGGCAATCTATGAACTGTTTTTACTTTTGGAGTTTTATCTTATTTGTCAATGGACTTCTAGACAAGGTGCAAATGTAAGCATTCTGATATATGTTTTCTGATTAAAATTCCACATAGAAAACAATTCTTGTAATGGAAAGTACTCAAATTTAGTCTTAACCAAGATATTTAAAGCTTTTAAATTTGTGAATGCAGACCTTTTGCCTATGAAAAATCGTTGCTGCAACAGTTTTTGCAGTATTAAAACGTAGCAACCTCAGTCTTAGTGCCTTGTTTCAGCTGTTAAACATTGTTAACACTCCGAATATCACAAGGTGGGAAGGGAACATTGTTCAATTAAGGAGCCTGTTAAAACTGTTAAGTGCAGGATTTGATTCAAGTAGGCTATTGGAGCAGGGAATTCAAATTTCTTGTGAGCAACGTAAACTAAAAATGTTGATATTTTAATTAGGAGTTGATTTCGGTAATTTTTGTCGCAATCCTGTTCTGCAAGAAATTTCAGCCAGGGAACATGTATCATAAATCTTAAATTGGCACCTTGTCCAATGGTCGATTATTTATGAAGATATTTTCTTTGGTGTGTTTTCTCAGACGTTAGAATCACAGAAACAAGCTCTAGAAAAGCAGAATCAGCTTGCCTCTGTGATGAATACCATCTCTAGTGGAATGAACCCCGAGCCACCAAGCAATGCAAACCATAAAGAAGAAGCGCAACCTCCAAATCACCTAGTCAATCCCTCGCTCCCAATGAAACATGTAGATGAGCCAAGTCAAAATCATGACTTCAGCACGGCAAATCACAGCTACGACCAGTCGAACCCTGCCTTCAATCACTCATCAAATGATTCCTACAGCATGTACTCAGGGAACCTACCGCAAGATTCTTCTTCTCAAGGTTTTGAGAATCCTCCAATGTTACCGATTCCTCCTCATGCATATTCTGGTCCACCCCCTGGATTTCTGCCCAACTTACCTCCACGTGAGTACATACTTCAAAGCAGGGGTATACATATAATGGTACAGTGCAGTGCGTAAGCAAGGGCTCATAAGTCATGAGAAAATCGCTTAGTGCACCTCCGCTATGCAGTCTTGTAGTTAGATTACTTAATTCTTTAGATGTAATTAAAATCTGTTCCGGAAAGACCTAAGATTTTTTTTTGGGGGGGGGGGGGTTGTACAATTAATAAACAGACAAAATGACCATATTGTTATTGTTAATATTTTTTCTTCAAATGATTTATTTTTTAATTCCTTTTTGAAGCCAACTAACTAATCCTTTTAAATTATGCCACTTTTTCATAGTTCAGAAATTGCTCTAAAAAGCATATTTTTTCATCATGATTTGTTCAATATCACCCTATTAAACCAGCCAGTATTTAGACTTTATATTTTGTATAAAGAGATCTGTTTGGTTTCTCTGATTTTCAGAACTTTTATATTTTTTACATCTTGTCAAGTTTTGATCATATCCTTGTTATAATTTTCGATTGGTATTGTAGTGAACAAACAGTGCATGCGAATTAATCTTTAAACTTACTATGGGCCCGTTGCAAACTTTTGTTAGAGTAAAAATAAGAGTTGTTTCCATTAGTAATATCTCAAAAATCGTGATGAGCGCATTGGCTAAGTTTGAAATGTACTCCGAACTTCACAATGTATGCAAGAAATTTTCGTTTTTTTGAGCTTTCCGCTTCAAAAACGATACTATGGAATAGGTGAACATTTTGTTAGAGGAGTCATTACATTCAATTTTTTTGCAATAGCAATACCCAACATAGCCGACGCTTCCGTGCAAATCGCAATCGAGAACACAAAATCAACCGAAACGGACCTTTCTCAACATGAAGAAATCGTGAATGTAAAAACGCTGGATTGTTACCAAATGGTTAGAATTTCGTCCAGGCACATGTGTTTTGACGGATCGGTGTCGACCATGTTGAACATTGTGTAGTATCCTAGTGCTCAGGGGTTGGATAGAACGACACCTCTAACGCATGTTCACCTGTGCCGTGGGATCGTTTTTGAAGCAACAGGCCCATTATGAGCTAAAATATGATTTGAATGATTTCTAATCACTTATTGAACCCTCCCCCCCTTCCTCTACATTTCTACATGAATATCACATATTTGTCTCACTGAAATTTATTTGCCAACAGCCAATATAGAGCTGCCTGATCTTAGTCGCCCGCCGCCAGGATTTCAACCACAACCTCCGCAGCTTCTGGGGCCGCCTCCACCAGCGGAGATCAAACCAGAAGATCTCTTACCTTCATTGCCCTATTATGACTTACCTGCTGGATTGATGGTTCCTTTAATTAAAGTAAGGACTTATTTCTCTCCTTATTTTAAATAATCTTTGTGGACTGTTCATCAGTTGTGACGTCTCAGATAGATGTCATTACATACCCTTAAAATTGTGTCTAAACAAATCACATCAGAACCTGATCGGTTTGCTTGAATTTTTCCTTATTTTGTAAGATGCTTTGTTTCTATCCAATTTAATGTATTTTACATACTCAAAAACTAAAGCTGAACATTTCAATAGCGATAGGGTTTTTGTAGCATAAGTTTAGTCCCTTTTTTTCCACTTTGATTGCTAACTTTTTTATATTCACTTTTCTCTGGAACTAAAATTTTCCGAAGGAAAGTTAAGTGGCACTGTGACAATAGGATTATTTGTGCAGATAAATTATTCTAAAAAGGTTTTATACATCTTATCTCAAAAGAAATCCAGCAAATTATGAAGCGTGTCGGTTAAAAATTTGATATTTTTTCTAGATTCTTTATTCTGGGTCTTTTTCTCTCTTTCAACTATTTTTAGACAGTTTTTCACGACAAAAATGCAACTTCTCCCGATCACTATCAACTAATAGTAGTTTTCATTAAGTACCGGTAAATTACAGCTCTACTGGGGAAGAACAGAGTGTGAGTCAGAGAGCGGAATGTAAAGTATATTACAAAAAGTAAAAGGAGAAAAAAATGCATTTTTCAAGCATAAATTCTCTTCAAACCACATTGTCCTTGACACATCCAGTTCAAAGTATCAAATGGACTACATTTTGCAATTTGGAACTATAAATTCTTGCTCAGTTTGAAAACAATGCATGTACCATTAGTTTCTCTATGCCTGCAAGTGTTTTTTCGGATGAGCCAAAAATTATAGTTCCTAATCGCAAAATGAAGTCCAAATGAGAAGAATGAAGACAGACGGTTCAGAGGGATATCGCTGTTTTGGGCCCCAATGAAAATTATTTTCGGAAAAATGGTTCTTTTGCCAGTGTTTTGTCTGTATCCATATTATCTATTGATATTTCAAATAAATAGTGTGTAATTCCTGTTTCTCTTGTCTACAATCTTGCTTTATTCCTCTGAATTGCAGTTAGAAGATAGTTCTTACAAACCTTTAGATCCTGATAGTATCCGATTACCACCTCCAGCACCACCTTCGGAGAGGTTATTAGCAGCTGTTAAAGCATTTTATGCTCCACCAGGACATGATCATCCTCGAGACAGGTACAACTATCAATGGAATCCCTTTTTTTTTTTCAAAAAATTTCTTATTCATTCATCGTCAGGGCCAGGGATTTAGAGCTGAGGTTTGAGGGAGCATCATAAACGGAGCCGCATCGGCGCGCGAGGCGGAGGCCCGGCGCGGACTTTCATGCCGCTTCGATCAGTGCGCCGGGGGAGCGCATATGCCGTTGAGGCGGCTTCACCTGGTGAAGCCGACTCCCGGCTCCTTTTCTGATGCTGCATCAGTTTTGATGCTGAGTCCAGCATCAAAATTAGCGGCTTCAATTAGCAGACGCGTCGGACGCCAGCGCCCCGGCGTGGGCCACCGCGCCAATGAGAAACGTAAACAAAGGGGTGTTCCGCGAATTCATCGCCGAGTCCGAGGGTCGCGGTCTTCTGGGACAGCCCCGTCGGTAATTAAGCTGGGTGGCGGGTCCGAAAATTGAGGCCGTATCGGGCCGCAAGCCGACGGTCCGGCCTCAGAGGCTGAGGCCCATGTTGGTCCCTGAGCCAGCATCAAACCTCAGCATCAGCGCTTGAGGCTGGCTCGGTCAGCTCTCCAGCATCGGGCTTCAATGCCCGAAGCCGGCGGCCGGCAGGTTGAGCGTATCAGGCTCGGAGCCGTATGCCCGAACGGCCGCTACCTGGGCATACGGCATTGATGCTGAAGCTACGAGTCGATGCTGTACAGCATAACCTCATGAGGCGCCTCAAATGCCTGGTCAGGGCTGTGCAAATAGTGAATGTTTCAAACGGAGCAAAAAGCGAATAATTTTGCCAATTATTCGCAAATACGTATTGTAAAAGTATGATTTAAGTAAATTATTCACAACTACTAATAATAAAACGAATTATTAAAGTGGTGGATGAAACTAACTACGAAGAGTCATAGAAAATATGAAGGACTGAGCATGAAATATCAATAAATTCAGCGCTGGCTATATTTTAGTACTATTTGATGTGATGTTCCCTACTGCCCATTGAGCATGATCAGCTTTTAAAATTTAACTTTCCATATGTCGAGTGTCAAAAATTGCAGGGCTGAAAAGTGAATTTTCAATCATCGATCAGATGTTAAAAGATTTCTACTACTTCTACTAGATATTGGGGCTAGTATCAAAAAATTTCCTTTTCAGCTCTGCTTGTCTCAATAGCGACTCTTAATGAGTTCGATTTTCAAGTTTAATTTTGTATAGGAGGCTGTAAGGAACACCATATCAAAAAGGATATACATTTAGCCAGCTTGGTGTCATATTTTTTGGTAATGTGTGAGTAGTCCATTGGTTTTAGTGACTAAAAAAATATTATGTTGAGTTTAATGAAGAGAAAGTGCATCAAAATGTCCATTAAACTTCACTGAAAAGTTCGATTGCTATTTTACTGTGTGCATGTTGGACCAGAATTAAATTGATGCTCAAGTTATCCTTTTTCCTGGAGCTTTTACTGTGATTTCAGTGTACCGAGATAACTCCATTTACTTTCTCTGTATGATCATCATCAACTTCAATTTTTGTCTTTTCAGTGAAGGGTGGGAGAAGCTAGGTCTGTATGAATACTATAGAGCAAAGAATCTTGCTAAGAAGCGGAAAGAAGAAGAAATAAGTCAAGGTATCAGAGAAAAATCAAAGTCTCCTTCGCCTGTCATTCGATCTAAATCAAGAAGTCAATCTCCAACGCCGAAGAAACGCTACCGAAGGTTTGTTGAATATGCCATCATATTTGATCACAAAACCTTATTCAACTTGGATGGCAGTTACAGATCTTTCATCAGTTACAAGCCACAGTCTCTGTAGGAGTTTTAAGAGCGGTAGGCAAGGGGTGGTATTTTGTATTCAATTTTTAGCCGAAAATAAACCTTTATGCAATGGCGTTATGGTTGAGAACATTATCTCATCTTATTGTTCAATTTTTTTGTACTTTAGCTCAATTTCTCGCCTATCACGTTGAGTGCCTATTAAATTTTAACCAGAGGATCAGATTTTTAGTCTCATAATGTCTGACCAGGGTCGTAAAAGACTTTCAATTTGTAAAATTTAGTATCTAAGCGCTGATATTCCTCATAGCATCATTTAAAGTTTTTTTTTCCTGGTGGTGGTATGTACCACCGGTTCTCTCTAGGAAATGGTTTTGCCTTAAGCATATTCCTGAAATCGGCTCTTTTTGTTAGATTTTTTTAATCTGTCAACAAAAAGACTTAGGTGAAATACTTTCTGCGCCGGTTCTCTGGAAAGTAAGAGTGATGACCATAAATCTCTGGAGCTATTATAGATAAAAACACTGTAGAAAGTAGCTAAAATACTGAATTTGGCTCCATAGTTGCCTGGAAAAGTGCCTTAATTTATCCATCTTGCAGGTCTAAAATTGTATGATTTGTTGTCAACAAGTAAGTTGTGGCCTCAAGATTTTTTTATTGATTGTCGTACCAGATTTAGGAACATTAGACTTGCATTTTAGATGGCCTTCGCACGTTAAATCACTCTTTAGGTTTGTCTGGCATGGCTCTCTCAATGCGGTCTGAGCGCTTGGATTGTACCTCACATTACTTCTCTAAATTTTAAATATTCAAGGAATATTTCTATTAATACATATTTTAAATTATAGCATTACTGGATTTTTCTAAACATTTGAGTAAACACAAAATAAATTTTCGTAATGTCTGATATTTCTACTCCTCTAATTTTGCTAAATCCAAATAGAATGTTATGTCTGTTTTATTTATGCATTTATTCATTATGGTACTTTGCCAAACTACGACAATTTTCAAGATCATTTTGCAATCAATTTGTGAAGATTTCATGAACCCTAACACTACTTGACTCTTCTGTCATTGTTTGTTCACAGTCGCAGCAGATCAAAATCTCGGGACAGAACCCCAGTGACTCGTAATGGTAACACTAGGACACCCATCAATCGCAAGCTAATGAGCGACATCGGGAGGGAAAGGGAAATGGAAGGAGATGGAGTTGGGATGGGGGTTACTCCTAATTTAAGGGACCGCGACAGAGATAGAGAGCGAGACAGAGATAGGGATCGGGACAGGAGCAGATTTGATCGAGATAGAGATCGAGACCGTGATAGGGATAGAGATAGGGACAGAGATAGAGATAGGGACCGCGATCGAGATAGGGACCGAGATCGGGGCAGAGATAGAGACAGAGATAGGGACAGAGACAGGGACAGAGATAGGGATAGGGACAGGGATAGAGATAGGGACCGTGATCGAGATAGAGATAGGGACAGGCATCGAGATTATGATAGGGATAGAAGAAACTCACCAATTCCATTCAGAGATGAAGAAACTCGAAGTCCTACGCCTCCATCTTTCCTGTAAGTGTTATAATACTAAATTTTCTCTTGTTAGTGAGTCTGCTAACATTGTATATCGTTTTACAAATTTACGTGGAAAATTGTATATGAATGAACTTAAAAATAGTAGTGAAATTGGTCAGTCTGTGGAATGAACAATTTTAGCAACAGAGAATGATATTTAGCCTGTGACTCAATACCTGCTCAACCTAAAGAATCCTAGTTTTTTAATTCTTTGTCAAGGAAAGTGGTTTAATACCAGATTGTCTTCCTAGGCAAATTTTTCGCATTCAGCCGTTGATACTATCACGCATTGCATTTGGGCCAATGGTTCTCTATTTTACCATCAAACTTCAACTTTTATTTTTTGCTTTGGTCATTTACTGATCTTGAAAACATGTGCCCTGATGAATTTTTTGGGACATACATCCATTACTTGAGCCAATTTCATACTCATGCAAATGCCTCATTCTAGGCAAATAGCCATTTGCCGCAGCAAATAACAATCGTCATCATTTGCGTACGCAAACAGAAAAAATTTTGCGGCATCTTTACTTTTATTCACTATTTTTTCTGCATAAATGTTTGATTGTGTTGGTTTTCTTTACATATTGTCTGAATAATTACAGAGCACATAATTTGTTAAATCTTTTGTTCCTTATAGTGGATCCACATATGCGAAAACACCTGTAGAAAAAATAGATGAATCTAACAAAGGACATCAGATGTTGAAAAAAATGGGCTGGGGCGGAGCTGGTCTTGGTGCTAATGAACAAGGAATTGAAGCACCTATAAGTGGGGGAGAGGTAAGTCTGTTCTTTTTTCGCTCCCTTGCGTCTTGTGTACTTAGTAGCCTTTGAAATAGTCCTAAATGGAAGCATTTGCTTTAATGCATCAAATAGTAGAGACAATACCTCATGTGATAGCTAATGGCTTGATGTGGCGATGCCTGAGATGAAAACTTTAGTACCCATTTTTTATGTTATTTTTTTAAAACAAGTCAGAAAACTGTGAAAAATTATTCTTATCATTCTTGGAGACAGTAACTTTAAAGAAATATTTTCTTGCAATCAAAAGAAGCGCACTATAAATTCACACAGTTTTTATTTGAATTGTTTGTATCAAAATTAGGGGTGCTCTATCGGTTTTTTGTGAACTGTCAAAATGGTTTTGTCAAGATGTACTAATGGTAACAACACCCTCATCATAAATTCTCCCCTTATTACAGATATCAGAAATTTTGGAGCTGTTAAAAATTAACTGTTGCCATATATATGAATCTGATAGGTCAAGCAATCCAGCGGACAGACATTAGAGACACCAATGCTGTGACTCAATAAAGCCGACTGTTTCTGATAATAGCAGCCTTACCAAAGTGTAACCAGCACTTTCAGCTTAAGCGTACTAACACAGAATTGAGAATTGTTTGAACATTTCTGATCGGTATTTGCTGTACAGAGTTTAACAGGACTGTTAGTTTCTGATTCCGAATTCCTTCCTTGCACAGCCCTGATATGGTTAAAATGTTTTTATATTTCACTGTTTTCATTCTTCTATCCTAGACTGACTTTATATCGTCATTTCTTTCAGGTGCGGGATCGTAGCGATCTGTACAAAGGTGTTGGAATAAATGTAAATGATCCTTATGAGAATTTCCGGAAAAGCAAGGGTCAAGCATTTATCACAAGGATGAAAGCTCGAGCGGAAGAGAGAATGTAATCATCGAATGACTGTAAGGCTCTCTTTATTACTTTTCTACTATCTATCGTAAGCCTCCTTGTCTTAAAGAAAGTGCTCACTTCTAGGAAGGGAAGGAATCAAAATCAGAAGCAGAAGGAAAAAACAAAGAGCTAATATTAAGAGGAGTTGACAGTAAAATACTTATTTTTGAACTTGATCCTCATTAAGATTTTCATTGGTCCAAAAAGTCTCACTTTTTTTCTTTTTCTTCTCTAAGATCAGTCTGAAAGTATTTAAAAACATTGAAATTTTTAGAACTGAATGGGTCAGTGGCATGAAATTTCTGCAGAGTGTCTGACTGTTGTTTCCAAAGTAAAATTTTATGAAAATCTCAGCAAGTCCATTCGAAGGTTTAGAAAAGCATTTCTAAGGGGAAGAATAAGCGGATGGAAATCTGGTCAACCAGAGGCTGACAGTCGTTATGATGTAACTAGGCCATGTCTGTGGCAATCAGCGAATGCGGACTCCCTTGCCTGCCCTTGTCATAACAGACCACCAAGAATATCGTTTCAAATGGGTGCAGATTTTGTAAACTTCAAAATCCATTTTCTCTGTCATCTGGAGTGAGGGAAATCTGAAATTCACTGGGAGCGCAACAAACATAGTACTATAAGAAACTGAATTTGAAAAAAAAAGGCGCCAAATTTAGTAGGAATAGGAATTTATAAAAGTAGGAGGTGTAAAATGGAGGGGATATCCCACGCTATCCTGAGAGTCCACCTCTACATCAAGATGAACTCTCCATGCAAAGATAGGGAACAAATACACTAGCAGTGATGCCGTGTTTTCAGTTTTAGAGTCTCCAAATAAAGTGGCAGCCCTGTCAATGTATTGTAGCAGAGACGCACTCTAGCTTGAGAGTACGCCTCTGTTGGGAGCACCTCGGACATACGTGAGAGATCGCGTATTTCTGAGGTGATAGCAGGCAGGTGCTTTGGTTGGCGCGTGCCGCGTCAGGGTTAGAGCTTTTGGGCACCGCTATATAGCGGCGGCCAAGCGGCCAAAGAGTGGTCAGTTGCGTACATGCGTACTTGCCGGTGATCGCCACCTTAGGGCATTCTAGACGTCATCGTGAGTTGGGCTATTTCCCCATCCCCTAGACGATTACAGTATTTGCTCCCTATCTTTGCATGGAGAGTTTGTCTTGATGTAGAGGTGGACTCTCAGGATAGCGTGAGATATCCCCTCCATTTTGGCGTCAACTCGAGAGCTTTTTTTGAGCTTGGGAGTTGATTTCAGAGAAAACCAGTGGCACCATCGTGTTTCTCGCAAACTTTTACCTAAGAATCTACAGTCAAATCGCAAATTCCTCACTCATGCAACATCTCCGTTGGTGGCAAATTAACAAAGAATGGCGCCTTCTTTCAAATAAATTCTCCACTTTAAAGTTACTGAGCCCATTTTCTCAAAACATCATTTTTACACTTACGGCTCTCTTTGCTATCACGGCAGTCTTACCAAAACGTAGCTGTAAGGTGTTGTGTCAGTAGGAAAATTAATTATAAATTCTCGTGAACGTACTCCTTATTTCTTTGTAAATTTTTTTTGGTATCGGTAGTAATTGGAAAATATCTGTTTGGTTTGTTTCAGTCAAGTCACACAGATTAATGATAGAGCTGAAACTGTTTACGTGCTGTAGCTTTTTCTTGATCTCAGAATTTTCTGAGATATGTTTTTCTTTCCAGCCGATAGGAAGGAATGAAATTGTTTTTATTGTGATTTCTTGCGCATGACTTGTGTACATCATTCTTTTATTTTTTTTTTTGGGTTTTAAAATAAGTCTGATGTAAATAATATACATTCTTAGATTAAGTCCTGTAAGTAAATTATTATTATTTTTTTTCTCCCTGTTGTGACTCACTATTTTTAGTGCAAAATGCACGTTTTTTAGTGACGCTGATGCATCTTTAAAACAATTTTGTAAATTGATTTTTGAAATTAATAATTTTTCAAAATTTTTCTGCTGCGTTTACTTATTTGCCTCTTTATTGACACTTGATTTCTCCAACATTAATTAAACTGTCTGCTGCTGTAAAACTTTCAATACTGTGAAAGCAGCCAAATTCTATTTTTCAAAATATACCATCTAACTGAGCCATCTAGTAAGTTTTGCATCTAGACCAAAAATAAGCACAAAACCAAGAAAGAGTCGGCCAATTTTAACCAAGGACTGAATCGCAGCTTGTATAAAACTGAATCTCTTCACATTCCCCTAGTAGTACTCCTTGTAAAATACATTGGGGAAAAATGTAAAATCGCTATTTTATACAAGTTTGTACGTTGTATGCAAAAAAGTTTTCAGCGGAGTCATAAATTGTCAGAATTCAAGAATATTATGTAAATAAATTTGTGACCACAGAAGTTAATAAAGGTAATTTTTAGTTTGTACTTATTAAGTATTTTTCTCGTAAAAAAAAACTTAATAGGCAATTTTTTTCTGGTCAAATCCATTGATTTTTTTTCGAGGTTTTTACATTTTCGAGGTTTTTACAGTATTTTGTTTTGTAAATTTTACGTCTTGTGCTATTAGGGATCTCTCCCAGTTTTTTGATAAATGCAATGCTTATTCACATCCTATAGTTACAGTGAATACTGGCTTATCTACTTTTTTTTATCAACAATAATTATTAGCTGGCTACGACTTTTGATTGCCTCCAGGATGGATGGAGGAAAAGGAATTAAGGGCCTAGGAGAATGTAAACGCAAGATGATGTTTGAACAATTCAGAGAGGAGGAAAAGATATAAAACGAGAAATCTCCTATCATAATTTGCTCCGTGTTTTTTTCAGAAGTTATATACTGTGAAGGAGGGTTTGTGCCAAACCTGGCTTTATTTCCAATTGTTAAGGGGAGGGGGGATTTTGAAATGCCCTCAATGGGCATTTGTTGCCGCATCTGATCAATGAGTGCGAGAGAGATAGACGATAAAACGGCGGCGTTTCAAGGCCGAGTGTCTCATCCATCCATGAAATATCACATGTTTAAACCAAATAAGAAAAGGGCTTTTCTGTCTAACGGCAGTGTGCAATTTGTGCGCAAGGCACTGTTCAGACTCCAGACGCCCGAACAATTCGTCGTAGTCTATTGAACTACATCGTTTTAGCGAACCAGTTCGAGCAGAGTTCTTTTTTTAGTCGTATTTCGTTGAGTGACCTGAGCAGGGTTCAAACCCCGGCGGAGATCGCCCTCCGGCAGCTTTTCGAAATTCGCGGTTCTTCGTCGACAGTAGCGCAACCTTTCATCCATCATCAACAACAAAGACATAAAGACGGAGTGCTC